GAAAAGTCTCAAAGCGCAACACCCAGATACCATGAAACCTTGTGTTTATGTGTGTCATGGCTTACTGACCTGCCTTTATAACAGCAGCCAGCTGTTTCTATATCACTCACACTATATGTGTGAGCTGTATAACAGAAAGCAGTCTGCAGCGATTACTGTACCCAAGCAGCTGCAAGCTTCCGTTAGAGATCAGCATTAATTACACAGCAGCCCTGATGTGCCGTCTTCCTCTAAAGAGCCCAGCTTAAACTCCCATCAGACCACTGCAGATTCAGGGCATGTGAGAAGCTGCTGGGGTGCTTTAACGCTCTTTTTCTGTGTAACCTATCCCGCAAGGAACAGCGTTTGAGGAAGATACCTCTCATCTTTTCAGTTTTATCAGCTTATACTCTATATAGCATACCATAGTAGTATTTCAAATTGACCATAGTGTTTTTTTTTAATTCAGTCGATAGAGTGGATATTTCGATCGATGGTCCACTTTAGACATTCTAACTATAAGTAACTTTGCAACTTCATGTCAACTAACTCGCCTTATTAGAGTATTTGTAGACTCTGCTTAATATCTGCTCTCAATTTAATTCGATGGTCCTCCAACAGACATTCTACTAACTATAAGTAACTTTCCAACTACATGTCAACTTATTCTACTAACCTGAACCCTAAAATCAAACCCTAACCCTAACAGTCTACAAATACTCTAATGATTGTAGTTGGCATGCAGTTTTATAGTTAGTAGAATGTCTAAAATGGACCATCGAAATAAAAAAGTGTAACCAAAAGCCTTGGTTGAAACCGCCGTTTGTTTTGACGTGTAAACAAATCATTAAATTTGCATGTTTGATGTAAAAAATTACAACCTATGCAATGCCACTGAAAACCAAAGTGACATATTTCAGAGAAAAAAATATTAAACACTTGGAATAACACTGATATTTTTTTCTTTGTTTCGTTTTTTACATCACAAAAACCTCGTTTTAACTGGGGCGTAGACTTTTTATATCCACTGTATATGCAGACACACACTCAAGCTTGTTTGCGTATTGAGAAGCTCCCACTACAAACATTTTATTAAACTTTGTTTTATGCATTTTGCATTTGAACCAAAGCAACGTACATTGCATGTATTTAGAAAGTTTATAAAATGCCACATTCATCAATTTTAAGATGTATAGTTTATGTGAGGACATTTTCAGAGATTTTGGCCCTGATAGCAAAACAAGTACAAACACGCACACACACACATCAGTACCCTCACAAGACTTAAAATTCCATAACATGTGTTTGTAGGGGGTGTCGTGCTGAGTAAGCAGACTGGGAACGACTGTGGTATCCCATCAGCTGTTGATGATAACTGGTGGCCTCGGATTTCACTCTCCCTCACCTGTTCTCGCCCCTGGCCCACTGCCCCGCCACATCCTCCACCTTCTCTCACAGTTGCAGCATGTTTACTGCAGTCGAATCCAAGATCAGGGAGATGAGCTCTCCGGTTTCAATGGACTGTTATGCATGGCAGTTCTCGCTGAACTGATTATCTCTCGAGATAAAAACAGTTAATCTGTGAGTAAAAGAGTGATATTCTTCATGCCTCCCTCTTGTCCCTAGGCTATTTCTGTTAGTAGTTCCCTTTGTGCCGGCACCCCATGATTCAAATAGATGTAGAGGTAGCATGTGTGCGTGCGTGTGTGTGTGTGTGTGTACTGGGAGACAATAACCCCTAAGGGACTGCAAATCAGACCGGCTTGCCCGGAATGGAGTCCTGTACACTAGTCCATTCTTTCAAATGAAAGACCTCTTCATGTACCATTATTATTGGGTCTGCTGCATTCCAGCACTAAGTTGGCCAGAAAACCACGGCGGTTAAGCTGAATCAAATTCCCTCAGAGCTAGTGAAGGGCTGACTTTAATGGGGCCCCTAACAGTCGAGTCAAGCGAACGGGTCAGCAGTTGCCGTGACCCCTAAACTCTTGGAGCCAAGCACACTGACTCAGGAAGATGAAGCTTTTATGATCTTTTCAGAGCTCAGCTGGTCTCCAATGAGGTTTTACTACGGCCCTCCCATTTCCCACAAATCCTCCCAAAAGCCTCATCAAGGCACAATGGATAGGGGGTTGAGCACAACATTAACCCCTGGGGCAAAACAAATAGAGATGGTCACGATGACGTACCTTTATAAGAACACAGCCATTTTAACTTATAGACTCACGTCTGTATTGTTATTGAACTGTATCACAATTTTGACCTATACTTAAAAAGGGATAGTCATACAGGTTTGTCATACTTTTTCGTACAATTTCAACTTTTTCTCAGAATTGAGTTTGCCTTTCACAATTATGACTTTTCCCCTCAAAATTCTGCATGTGGTCACTCTAGTGAAAAAAAACTATACCAAAATGTATTTAAAATACAATTATTTCATAGTATATACAAATCCATGAACCTATTTACTGACATATCGCTTGAGACTTACTGATATAAATGTTATAATTAAAATTTATTTATTGGAGTACTTTATAGCAAAATATCTTTATTCGTAAGGATAGTATGATCACTGTATAATATCAGTCTTTAAATGCGCAATATAATTAAAGTGTACCTAAAGTATACTTGCAATAGTTCCACTTTGGCACAATCAAATATACTTAAGTATATCTTTAGTTGCACCTCAGCGCTACTTTTGGATAACTAAAGACTTTAAGTATAACAATTTATTACACCAAAAGTACAACTGTAGGGTATTCATATTAAGTACATAAATATTTAAATGTATTTGTAGTAGTTAGCATAAAATAAATGTATTTCACATAAATTTTGGTATATTTACTTTTCACAAGGGCAGGTATAAAGAATTGCAAGATGTAAACTCAGAATTGTGATATATGAACTAGCAATTCTGGAAAAAAAAAGTCTGAATTTCGAGATTAAAAAGTCACAACTACCTTTTTATATTTTTATTCCATGGCAAAAAATATGCTTCCATACATATGGCTATACAAGAGCCGTTGAAAAAAATCCCCTAAAAATAAGCTCAATGAAAAACCACACCACATTTGAATACAAAATTCATTTTGGTTACATGTAAATTATGCTCAGTGCGACCTGCAGGAATGACACGCTGTAATACATCCGCATCTGATGATATCAGCACATTATGGATATTCAAGTCTGAAAGATGAAGCAGATTCGTGACACACGAGTTATTTTGTTCATATGCACAATAGGTTTTAGTTTAATGCTGCTTTTTCTTTTCTTATAATAATGTAAAAGAGAATCAGCACATCTCTGTTTAATGCTCTTCCTCTTGTATATGAAGCCAGTGGAGACGAGCAGGCGCCAGACATTGCCCACAGGGGCCACACATGCAGAACGCTCACTGATTGGGTTCAGCTCTTGACAAGCATTATGGTGCTGGATATGATGGAATGAGTTTAGTGAATTATGCTCTGTGTCGACCATAAATGATGTGCTAATGCTACAAGCTAAATTGCGCTGGGAGTTGGATGGTTCGAATGGCCCGGCAATAGGTTTTTAATTGGATTTCATCTTTATTCTCTGTTGCAGGGCGCTCAGAAATGACTGAGGGTGTCGTGCATTGTCATGCCTTGATTCATCTTTTTTTTGTTTTTTTTGACTAATTATGTTTACATGAAATATCTTTGTCCTGTCGAGGTGCAAAAGTGGTTCTGTGTGCCACTGTCAGCCACACTGCACGTTATTATTATCACTTGTTTTCACTAGTAAGCATACAAAGAATTGAATACAGGAAAATGACGCCACTGTTTGGAAGCCAATTTCACACAGGGAACTTTCTCAGGGACAGAGGCTCAATTGAAGAGGAAGATTTGTTATTTGCTGGCAGGGAACTCATCAGCAATTTTTTTCAGTCTCAATCAGACAATTATTTCCACATTGTTTAGCTTTATGCAGTAGCTTTTTTACACATACATTGTTATTTAAAAGTTTTGGGTTTGCGGTCATTTATTTGATTAAAAATACAATAAAAACATAATAACGTAAAAATAATATTGTGATATATTATTGTAATTTAAAATAACTGTTTTTATATTTTAATATATTTTCAAATTGAGAATTTTTAGCAGCCATTACCCCAGTCTTCAGTGCAATGGAGTGACATTGTATGAAATCATGATATATATATATATATATATATATATATATACATACACAACATTTTTAACGGTAATGTGTTATGATTTTTAGCAAATGAGAATTAATGAAATAGCATGAGAATAAGAATAAAAATGAATAACCATGAAATGGCTACAAATTATTTTTTTTACAGCACAACATTGCCAGGCAATTTGGACATCTTAGAATTTTACACTGTTTAAATCGGAATGCAAAATTCAATAAAGAGAAAAAATAGGAATGCTGTTTCATATTGATTTGAGTGTCCTTGTTACATAATTGCAACTGTAACCTACAACCACATCACAGGGTGATCATGTGGTCCAGGGTCTGCATCTTTCGAAACCATATTTTCCTTTAGTTTTCAATTGACCTGCAGTTTTTCATTGTGGAAGGATGCGGGCTATTTGTATCATAATTTAAGTAGAGGGTAATTTCCAAAAACACATATTTAACGCCATCTAGTGGTTAAATTATATATGAATTATAAAAAACATAATCTATACATAATTAGATATGCACAATACTGGACACAATGTAGGCTACCTCACGTTTCTTTTTTTAAAGAATATTACGGGAGTTAGTTATGATAATGTGCTGGGCACCATCATGTCATCAAGAATGAAAAAAGCACAACTCATTGTTGGATGGTTAACAAACAGAGCACGATTTGCTTCTTGTTCTTTCTCTAAAGCGGTCCACTTATAATTGATAAGAATGTGATCAATTTCAAAGAAAACACAGCCACACACCTGTTCCAAAAATTAAAGAAGAAGAAAAGAAAAAAACAATTCTGGCAAATATGCATCTCTCGATGGAAATCATGTAATGAATTTGCCTTGGCACCTAGCTCTGCCATGATGTCCTATCTGTGGTTCTGCTACCTCACTGGTATTTTTGGGTCACAGGTATCACCACTAGGGGGAGCACTTGCAATCAGGAAGAGTGTCAGTGCTGGTTGTTTAGTCCGACCAGTAGAGCACTTTCCTCCCACAACCTTCTTGCCACTGCATCATCTTTTCCTTCTGGAGCAGGGTCTTTTTCGGCACAATCACTGCACAAAACACAGATGCATAGAAACAAGTCTGAGTTTATCTAGTTGTCTTGCCCACTCTTTAAAAGTCAGCATGAAACGGAAGTTTCGATTGTCTTTTCTTTTTTCCCTATTGTGACGTATATCAGAGTGAAACTTTTTTGCTTGCAATGATTTAGCAATGGACAAATGATTACCTGAAGTAGCAGCCAGACTTCCTCTCTAAGCCTTCAGCAACAGCGCAGTAGATGGAGGTCTGTGCGCCCTGCCAGGGAGTTTTCATCAGCAGCATACTGGGCAGAGACAGTATAGTCTTCAGCATTGGGTACCATAACAGAATATGACGATTCAGCTCTGTTCGAATCACTCCTGGATGCAGGCAGTATGAGGAAACTCCTGTACCTATGGAAGCATCCATTTATATATGAAGCCACTGGTTGCAAACTTGATCAAACACGGCCATTGAAACAGTATGTGACAAAATCTACAATGACGTAACAATAAAACATAGAATATTGTCTACTTGTTGCTTAAAATAAACAGCTTTTGTTAGTTTGTTTGTTAGGTTTCAAACTTGTTTACTAAACCAAAAACTGTTGTAGTATCTTACCTTTCATTCTTCGTGCAAGTTCTTTGGAGAAAAGCACATTGGCCAGCTTACTCTGTTTATAGCTGGCCAGAGGACTGTAAGGCCTTTTGTCAAAGAAAAGGTCATCAAACTCAATCTTACCTATAGGAAAACAGTGACAAGTAAGGATATCTATTGGACTAAAAATGTTCTATTGTTTTGTCGTATTTTACTTTAACATCTACACTACTGTCCAAAAGATTTTCATTTGTAAAGAAATAAATATTTTTTTCAGCAAGAATGCATTAAATTGAACTTTCTGTTAATCAAAGAATCTTGATTAAAAAAGGTTTCCACAAAAATACTAATTTTCACAACTTTTTTCAACATTGATAATAATAAGAAATGTTCCTTGAGCACCAAACCAGCATATTAGAATGATTTCTGAAGTATCATGTGACACTGAAGACTAGAATAATGATGCTAAAAATTCAGCTTTGCCATCACAGGAATAAAGTAAAATTTTAAATATATTAAAATAGAAAACAGAAATATAAGTGATATATACATATTTCACAATATTACTGTTTTTTCCCCCTTATTATTAATCAAATTAATGCAGCCTTGGTGAGAATAAAATAACTTTTGAAAATAAGTGAATTTTTGAAAATTACCACCAACATGTACAACACTGGACACATTCACTACGCGGCTGGGGGAGGATCTCTTTAGCACTCCTAATAGTAGATTGGTCAGAAGAAAATGTCCCAAGTGATTGACAGCCAGCTGTGTCTCAAAGCCATCCTCTGTGATCAACTTTGGACACATCATCACACCTGTCAGAAAAAAAACTTTAAAGGGGTCCTATTATGCAAAATTCACTTTTACACGGTGAACATAAATGTGTGTCAGCAGTGAGTGTACACAACTACCCAATAATGGTAAAAATCCACATACTCTTTTTTTTAATCCCCATAAATCATAAGCAGTGTCTCAGAACATCTAGCATTTGTGATGTCACATATGTTTAGGCCCCGCCCACGATTGCTGACAGACTCTGCCTTATTAGCATAGACCCCACCCTGAGTGACCTATACACAGTCCGCCATGTTTATCTCCTCGCCCGAGCATTTAACAGCAGCATTCAAGTCAGAAATGTTTTCTTATTAAAGCTCCTAAAGTTATTAATCAAAACCAAACAGATGTTTTCGTTTTTGGCAGAGTATTACGAGGCAAGAGCTGTAAAGGCTTCACCCTCTTCTGAAAAGTGGGGTGGGGAGCAGCAGCTCATTTGCATTTTAAGATACATGCACGAAAACAGGGGCATGTAAAAAAGGGCATAATAGGTCCCCTTTAAAATCTGTCTCTGTATTGCTTGCTTCATTCAAATCTTACTCACCTGCATTGTTGATGAGTATATCCAGTCGTTCTTCTGTGGATATGAACTCTTTGGAAAATTCTCGGACAGAATAGAGAGAGGCTAGATTTAAATGTCTGATGACTACATTGCCATTTCCTGTGGAGCGGCGAATATATTCTGCAGCTTTCTCAGCACGTGTCAAGTCCCGGCAGGCCATAATTACCCGAGCCCCTATATGCACACACATACATTTATGCACTGGATGGAAGTAAGGGAATAATAGATGAGGACGTAGGTAATGTGTCTTACCTCTACGAGCCATATCTTTTGCAGTTTCCTTGCCAATCCCAGTGTTGGCACCAGTGATCACAACTGTCTTTCCATCCAAACGAGCAAAGCTTTTGCAGACACCACCAGCTATCCATTTTCGCAGCAGCATAAAGCCTGTATGGGAGATGGCATTACATACACAGTGTTTAATGAAAGTCTCTTATGTTCAAGGCTGCATTTATTTGATCAAGTACAGTAAAACCTGTATTCTGAAATATTATTACAATTTAAAATATTGTTTTTCTATTTATAGCTATATTTTAACAGCCATTACTCCAACCGTTGTGTCACCTGATCCTTCAGACATCATTCTAATATGCTGATTTGGCATGCAAGATTCCTTATTATTATTAAATTAAACCCTTGTGTTGTTTAACATTTCTGAGCAAACCGAGATACATTTTTTCAGGATTCTTTCTTTGATAAATAAAAGTTCAAAAGAACAGCATTTATTTGAAATAGAAACATCTTGTAGGCCTATACCATTTTTTATATCACTTTACTCTTGAACCTATTTACCCGTGCTGAATAAAAGTATTACTTTCTTTCAGAGAGAGAGAGAGAGAGAGAGAGAGAGAGAGAGAGAGAGAGAGAGAGAGAGAGAGAGAGAGAGAGAGAGAGAGAGAGAGAGAGAGAGAGAGAGAGAGAGAGAGAGAGAGAGAGAGAGAGAGAGAGAGAGAGAGAGATTATTTTAATTCTTAAAGGTTCAAAAGATGTCAAATAATGCACGTAACTTACTGATCGACGTCAGCGCGAGGACGATGCCATAGTTCACTCGATCAGATGATGTGACTCGGTCCATCATATCTCATGTAGCAGGTGTACAAAATGAAGAATAACCCTGGGATGTTACATTGTGTCCTGTGCAGAATGCTATATATAGGTCTTACAGCTTAGTGGCCTACCTGCTGTCCGTTTCGCCAACTGGCTGATTACGCGCGTCTCATCATTTAGCAGCAGATTTCATTGTGTTATGAAACGTTTATCTCAGCATCAGTTTCTTGTATGATGAATAATAGTCACTAGTCAGATAGTGGTTTTAATAATATTCAGCACTGAGAGTACAGACCTGGGACATTTTGTAATAAATTATTTATGTTAAAATAAAGTACAACATAAAACAATAAAGTTATTGGTTCAGTCAGATTACCGCTTCTTCTGAGTCATAATGTTTTTGATTCACTTAAAAGAATCGGTTCAGAAGAGTCATTTCACCCGACTACACTGGTCGCACTGTCAGATGAACTAAAAAGAATCGACCCTTAAGAGTCGTTTGTTCTTGAATCGGACATCACCCCTCGTTTTTTCGTGCTGAATTATTTAGTAGCGACTTTGCAGTGAATTGGAATAGTAGTGAAGTAAACAATGCAATGGGATGTTCCATCCATATTGGCGGAAGGACGCACGTTTGAGAACCGTTAATGAAACTGAATCTCATCAGTATATTTCCAGTAGCCTATCTGGAAACCGGTTGGAACCGGTTCTAAAAAGTACTGGTTTTTGCTTTTTGGTTCCTGACCTATTTATCAGTGCTTTACTTGTAAGGGGAGTATAAATTAATATTTATAGCCAATATTTATATATGGGAGATGTTTTAAGTGATCAATAATTTAAAATCATGAATTGAGTTCAGAAAACACCAGTCTATGATGGTCTTGACAGGTTATCTGCAAAACACCAGCATGTGTTGAATAAAATCCAAACACTATCTGCTTGCCACTATTAAGCCAGCAGTTGGTTAGATAGTGTAAAATGTTGTCGTTGCAAGGAAGGAAGCCATTTTCTTGTTCCAGTAACCACTCCTCCTTATTTCAGAGATTACAGCCAATCAGAGGTCCGAATCCAAAACAGGAAGTGGCGTTTTGCACGCATCAACCAATCGCTGCCGCAGAAAGAGCAGAACCTCTGCCCATTTAGCGCATTTATTCGTCTCGTCTGTGACGTACCGGCTGGCTTTGTGTGCTTTCAATATATCACATTGAACATATTTCCATATAGACTATAATCCGGTAAGTATTATTTATAAATTCGACAATATTCGTTATATTCGCGCTTTAATCCACACATTAAATGATCGTCGTTCATTATGTGCGCAGGGGTATGCGGAATGCGCACTTAGCGCGCGAGGTGGTTGCTGCATAATTTGTAACCGAGTAATTGTAATAAACATCGCGCTGTCACTCGTTCCAACCTACTTTAGATTTTAATCCGCATTTATTGTTATTGTACACATCTAAGGCTCATGCTTTTATTTAGGTATGTCAAATCATCTAGTCTCACGCATTGGATGAAAGGGCACAGGAACTACTTTTCTCTTTGCCTCTTTCAGTTGGATGAAATCACATTGCGCGTACTTAGAGACAATTTATTGAAGGCTTTCCTGAAGTGATACGGCAGCACACTGAACATCTAACCCATTTTATTACAGATTTTTTATATATAATATATGTGAACACAAAATGTGGTTTACGCACTCTTTTATTTATTTATGTAATTTGCAGGATGAGGCGGTTTTGTAAACGCCACCCTTGACGTTGAAACTGGTCGGACCTGAATGCTGTCAGAGCCCTGTGAATATTGTGAGGGTCTTCACTTCAGACGTCATTCACCTGTCAAATCTAAAATGAAACACTAAAATTTCCCGATTTATGAATACACTAAATACCATGGGCAGCAATAACATTACTGTTTTTTTTCATGTAGATTGTAAAAGCACGTTAACCGTTTAGCTCAATAAACACTTTGTTTCAGAAACATGGACGCGGATTTGTTTATGGAGTGTGAGGAGGAGGAGCTGGAACCATGGCAACAGCAAAATTCAATGGATGAATTAGAGGGAAATGCTGAAAGTAGTACTCCCACTGGTGTGTAATTTTATATATTCTTTTTGTATTATTTACAGTTAAATGTATGTTTAGATCACACATATTCCAGGAATTCTTTGTGTAATTAAGAAATATTTTTTTATTTTAATAATTATTTTAATATCATTATGCTATCTAAAACCTGTCCTTCTTCACTGTTGTTTAGTGTCTTCCACTCCTGCCATGACAGTGGTTGATATTCCAGCTGAGCCTAAGACTGTGGTGATCCCAAACCTGCCACCAGTAATAAATACGGCAAACGCGGTTCCGCTGATCACGAATACACGTGAGTATCCTGTTCCGTATTATCAGTTATTTTGCCTATTAAAGGAATATTGTGTCATTATTTACTCATCCTCATGTTGTTCCAAACCTGTATGACATGGTCCTTTGTTTGGAATTTGTTAAACACAAACTAATTATAAATACTATCTTGGCTGCTCTTTTTTCATTGAAAAAATTATAAAATATAAATGATTATAAAAGTAGTTTGTATGATGTGTGAGCACAAAAGTTGTATAAACTACAAAAATGGTACACCAGGGCCGTCGCCACTATCTTGATGACAGCATTTTAGCTGCACTACTTCTTTACTCCGTTATTTATTCTTTCAGTGACTCAACGCATGGTTCCTGCTGCTGTGCCGGCGGACATTCCTAAAGCAATGCAAGGGCAGCAGGTCTTTTTAGCATCAGGAGGAGGAGGGCTGGGCACTGTGGCTCTGTCGCAGGTTCTCCTGTCTGGCACATCTTCTATTGCCAATGCCACCAACAGCCAGCCGTTTTACTTTACCACGCAGGTGCTGCCATCCCACCTTATAGATCTCAGCTCATTTCTGGTTATCTCAAAATTTGTTAATCAAAATGTTTCCTATTGTGTATGACACAGGGTCTTCCTGTGCAGAATATCCATCCTGGCCAGCCTGGCCATGGCCCAATGAGTTTGGTGCTGAATGTCCAACAAGGGCAGACTGTTCGACCCATTACTTTAGTCCAAGGTATGTCAAAGTGCGCCTTAAACTTCGATTGTAGTTTTACAGGGTTTGATTTGCTCATTGATTTAACAATGTTTCATTTTTATGTCTTTTCAGCACCTGGGACACAAATATTTAAACCAGCTGTTGGAGGAACCCAAATAATTACCCAGCCAGCTCAGATAAGGGCCACAGCGCCGGTCGCAAACAGGGTCCAAACGCCTAGCACTTTTAGCACGATGCAAATCCCTGCTACTCTCACTATTCGTACCACAACAGCGGTCGCCCCACCTGCTGTCAATTCTCTGGCCACCATGTCCTCCACAACCATTACTCAGCCCTCCACAGCACGAACTACAACTAAAATCGGTAAGATGCAGGATCCTGTTGAGAACTAAACTATATTTATGTTTTTTAGACAAAGATTTTAGATCTTTTAAGAAACATTGAAGGTATGAATAAATAATTGCATAACTAGGGACAAAAAAAATTACCACCCAAATTTATTAATCATCTGCTACGAGATAAATTCACGTAAATGAGTATTTTATTACAGATGGTGATATTTATTTTATTACTCTGTATTGACCAATCAGCATCCAGGACTGCAATGATCTGTTTTAAAATTGGGTTTATTCCTATTTACAGTGACAATAAAGCCAGGAAATGGACCCTTGGACATGCAAAACATAATGAGCCTTGTGAAATCTGTTAACCTTCCTGGTGGGGCTCAAGCACAGACATTTGTTGTCATGAGCAATCAAAAAACCAATAACGGCTCCATTGTTTCCTCTGCTGTTCCTGTCATGACACATAATGTTGTCCAAAGTAAGTTTGCTGTTCTCTTCTTTGTTAATGCATCAGTTTCATACTAGAGTAAAGCCACGCTGATAAATTCCAAACACTTTTCTTTCTTTGTAGCAATCCCTGTTACCCATACAACACCATCAACGATCACTCATTTGTGTCCTCGTTGTGGAGCTCAGTTCAAAATGATCGAGGCTCTACGGAGTCATATGTGTGTAAGTATACACTTTTTGCAGATACTATATACATGTCTGGTCACCTAAAAAGTGGTCAATTAATTATTATTCCCCCTTTAGTTCTGCTGCCCAGCTCTTGTCCAGACGGCCGACACAAGCAGTACAGCAACTGCTGTGAACACACCAGCCGTGAACACACCAGCCACAACACCTAAGAGCCTCTCTGTTGTGCCTAGTGTCAAGCTGGATAACCCACCTACAAAGACTGGAGATACTCCGCCCAGACTTGTCATGCTGGTGGATGATTTCTACTACGGCACATTTGAGGGGAATCGAGTCTATGTACCAATGGACAACTCAAAGGAACCATTATCGTTCAAATGCCTTTCCTGTAACAAGAGACTGAAAAATAATGTTAGGTATGTTGATGGACAGTCAAGTCAGGGTAGGAATTATGGATATATCTGTCTACTTGCAGATGATATTTTTCATTTTTAGGAAATTTCCCAGTGCTTCTTCTAAACTTGGACAGAGGATGTTTTCTTTCATTTACTAGAATGCTGCATTTAGTAAGTGCTTCTTCTCATTGCAGGCTTATGAACCATATGAGGTACCATGTTGAGTTGGAGCAGCAAAATGGGGAGATGGACACGCACACGTCCTGCCAGCACTGTTTCCGCCGCTTTCCCACACCATTTCGTCTTCAATGCCACCTGGAGAGCGTCCACACTTCCATTGAGTCATCTAGTAAGAACTTTTTCCAGTTTAATAAAGTTAGGGCTCTAAATGATTTTAAAAAAAAAAAAATGTAAAAGGAAACTTATGCTCACAAGGCTGCATTTATTCGATCAAAACATACAATAAAAAACAGTAATATTGTGAAATATTATTACAATTTTAAATATCTGTTTCATATTGTAATATATATTCAAAATGTATTTTATTTCTGTGATGGCAAAGTTGAATTCTCAGCATCATTACTCCAGGCTTCAGTGTCACACAATCCTTCTGAAATCATTCTAATATGCTGATTTGATGGTCAAGAAACATTTATTATTATTACAATCACAGTATTGTCATGGAATATTTTTAGGATTCTTTGAAGAATAGCATGCTTGCTGAATATAAGTATTATTTTCTTTCAAAAAAATCTCACTAACCCGGTAGTGTACATTAATGTTTAGATACAACTGTATTTGTTTGTTTTCCAGAATTATCTAATGATGTTCACAACATTCAGTCTGTATGTTATTCCAGTTAAACATGTAGATGGGCTGTGATGTTGTATTTTCATCTGTATTTGTTTTTAAACTGTTATTTTCTTTTACCACAATATTCTTATGCACAAGAAACAATAGCAGATTTTCCATACAGACACGGATAAAGCTTTTAGAGGTTGTTCACCATCCCACATTTGTCCCAAAAAAATGTATTATTCAGTATTTAGTTGGCAACCTGTTGGAGTCAGATTAAAAAAAACGAGCTTGCAAGACTGGTTATGCTGGTTAGATAATTTCAATAGACACTCTGCCATGTGCACTAGTATATTTGACTAAATTCAAACATGAAGACTGAAGAGGTGACAGGTGCAACAAATGTATTTTTAACGTTAACACATTTAACTTTAACACATATTGTATTCAGATGGTGCATGTTTGCCTGACTTTTTTGCTGGTTTGCTACACTGACTGTAAACTCCAGTAAGTTCAGTTTATCAGCTGATTTAGTGATTGTTATGCTTTCTGTTCAGCCAAGTGTAAGATATGTGAGTGGTCCTTTGAGAGTGAGCCAGTGTTCCTGCAGCACATGAAGAACACCCACAAACCTGGAGAGATGCCTTATGTGTGCCAGGTAAATTAAGTGAAATTGACCTGCATGAACCTTATTACCCGTCTTTATAATATGAGGAGCGTCTCAGAGTCTATAATGCCTTGACACTTTCAGGTGTGTGAATACCGCTCCTCCCTCTACTCGGATGTGTTTAACCACTTTCGTACCTGGCATGAGGATACCCGCCACCTTCTGTGCCAGTACTGCCTCAAAGTTTTCAAGCATTCCACCAGTTACCAGCAGCACTATATTCGTCATCAGGTGAGCATAAGTTATGAGAATAAATTTTAATATAATAAAAAGAAATAATAATTGCATGTATAAATATTTTCAACACATTCTTCTTTGCAGACTATTTGCTGCTTTTGCAAAGTCTTACAAAGTCTTGGTTAGTTAAATAGTGATGGGGTAGGATGCATTGCTTGAATGTGCTCCTATGTCCATTATTGCTTGACTCAACAGACATTTTGAACCATCATGTGACTGTTTTTTGTTGTTGTTGTTGTTGTTCTTTCCAGAAATCAACAGTTTACCACTGTAACAAATGCCGTCTTCAGTTCTTGTTCACAAAAGACAAAGTTGAGCATAAAATCAATCACCACAGGACCTTTCGAAAGCCTTGTGAATTGGAAGGACTCCAGCCTGGGACAAAAGTAAAATTTGTTTGTTTGTTTGTATGTTTGTTTGAGAGCAAGGTTCAACTATTGCAAAAATATATATTGCTTTATATTATTGTTTATTTCTAGGTGACCATTAGGGCATATGTTGGGATGAAGAAGTCACCAGGTCAGGCATCAAAAGCATCCACTAACTCTCAGAAGAATGGTGTTAGCACTTCACAAACATCAACTTGTAGTGGTGACCAGCAATCACAACGACATGGACCTGTGAAGAAACAGGTCAGCAAGACGTTTGACTTCTTGTCCAAGTTCCAAGAGCAGAGGTAAGCTTATGTTTAATTTGAACTGATTCATCGAACCATTTCGACTGGATATCAGAATTTTGAATTATGTGCTTTTGGTCTTCCTCTCTCCAGGGCACTACTGGGCAGACATAAGTGTGTGGAGTGCACTTTTGACATTCCAGACTTTGCGAATCACTACCCTACTTATGTTCATTGCTCACTCTGCTTCTACAGCACATGCTGTTCTCGTGCTTATGCAAACCACATGATCAAGTAAATCAAGTCATATATCTTTCTTTACATCCTCTTGCACCTCTGTAAATTAAAAAAACTGTGCCACTTGAAATTGGAGTTTGAAGTTTAGTTTGGTATGCCAGGCAGTCAATGTGACATACTGATTGCAATTCATTTTTTTATTTCAGCAATCACGTTCCTGGAAGAGTCCCAAAAGCTTCTAAAAAGGGGCCGCCGAGGTAATATATTTATGTTTCGATTTTAAGTTGTATTTTACAAAATCTGAAACAGTACAGGTAATTTGGTGTTCTTTTGTAGCGGCGTGAAGCTGAGCTGTGCGGGTTGTGAATACTCCACTGCTCTGGGGAATATGATGGCCAAACATCTCATTAAGTTCTCTAATCACTCCCACTGTATCTTCACTCATAAAGGTGGGTGTACTCCAATTCAATAGAATATTAATACATGTTTTTCCTGAGTCTTTGGAAAATGTTGTGTCTTACTGCATGCTTGTTTTTCTTTCTCTGCTTTCTTACTTCTGTAGTTAGAAGGCATCCAACTTTATTGTAGGTGTCATTAATTGCATGATTATAGTACTAATATAGTGTAGACACAAAAGTAAAAATACCTTCGAACTAAATTAATAGTATTATGACACACATTGCTACTTGATTCTTGTTAGTACAACTTATAACTGTAAATTACATCTATTAAACAACAGGGTCCAAAATGAATGCTTGTCAAGTGGCAAATGCATGTGTAAACTTTTTTTGGGAATAAATAAAAAAAAAAAAATCCTGGATCTATATTGTAATATCAGTATAATACACGTTTTATTCACAATGTAAGATCCGTTAAATTGCTGTATAACTGCCGGAATAGCTTTTTCAGTAAATGTACGACATCTGCTATTTACACACGCAACAAATTTTTGTCTTATCCATATCTACAGGCTTAATTAAACAGTGTGTGGTAATTACATCAGTTCGTTCAGAACTTTGTAATTAGATCAAACTCTCTGACAGCTGATTTCTCACATCAGAGAATCTTAACATTGTACATATGCAAACTGTTAAACTTGTGGCTTGATTGACACACCCTGCATACCACTGTATATACTTCCACAGGCTGAATGTTATTTATCCAGTTTATAGACACCTACAATAAAGGAGGATGTTTTTTCCATGCATATTTAGCTGAACTCAAACATTACAGATATGCTTAAAAACTTTTGCAAAGTCTTGAGTAATAGCCCGCAGTATGTGATACACAGCAATCACACGTGTGGGGTATGAGCTCAAGCTGTCCATTGTCAAAATGGACAAACGTGGGCCTTTTGTACTTGGTGTGACTTTGCAGGACTTACTGGCAAGCCTTTACAAGAGCACTCTGGATGAGTAAATGAGTATTTACACAAAACCTGCACACCACCTGAACTGGAGAATATCAGGAGGAGTACAAAAAAAAACCTAAAATGGGTTAATTTAAAAACATGACAAATGAATAACGACAAGGACTATCCATCGGGAAATTATCTGCTGCTTCTGAGCTGCTTATTGTTTTCTTTTCTCAAAAGCTAACTGACCTATCAGAACCACATATACATTGAGCATGGTGTTATAAAATGGATTATTGGTGATGGTAGAGACTCCAAGGAGAAGACTAACTCTGTGTTCCTATAATCCCTCCCCTCCCCTACAGAGTGTTTGGAGACAGATATTGAGTTCTGCCAGGTTGAGGAGGAGGTGGAGGGTCCACAAGGGGATGAAGCTAGTGATGTTGGGACACAGCCTGACTGGTTGTCCATGAAGCAGTGGATTGTGCCCAAAGAGGAAGGAACTGTGCCAGAATTCATGGACAGTTGTGGCCCTCAGCATATAATGGCCAGAAATAGCGATGTCCTCGACTACTTCCAGCTGCTTTTCCCCGACATCCTTTTTGAGCAGATCGTTTTTGAGACCAATTCTTATGCTACTTATTGCTGCTCTTTGGGGCAGGGGGATCCTTCCTGGAACTCCGTGTCCATTGAGGAAGTCAAAGGCTTCTTTGGTCTCTCTATCCTCATGGGGCTTCAAGGCCAGGTTGAGCCAGAGTTGTACTGGTCCTGGGACCATCACCATGGCCGCTATGGCTCCAGAATATGTGAGCTCTTTTACAGGACCATGTCAGTCAAACGCTTCAAGCAGATCAGAACTCACATCCGAATGAGCAGCATGCTTGTGGAGAACGACAACCAGAGTGCTGACAAGTTGTCCTTTTTTCAGCCAATGCTGAGCATCCTGCAGACAAGTATGCGGGAGGCCTACAGGCCAAACAAGTGTCTGACGGTCGATCAAGCTTTTCTACCAAGCCATGACAAAGGAATCGCTCAGGAGAAGTGTAGAAATTCCCAGCCGAGGATATGGCTACTGTGTGACTCAAAGTCAGGCTACTGCCATAAACTGCTGGTTTTAACACAACAGGAGAAAAACAAAGACTTGGGAAAATTAGTTGTACCTCAACTCATAGAGGGCTTTGAGGGTAAACATCACCACATTTTCTTGTCCAGCTCACTTGTGTCCGTGCCACTCATGCGGGAGCTGTATGACATTGGTATATACTGCTCTAGCTCCATCCTGCCCCAAAGTCCTATTTTGCCCAAGGAGTTTTGGGATGAACCTCCACTGAACAATCCAGGTGATTTCCAACAGCATGAACTCACCCCACTCCTTGCCACCAGATGGAAAGATAACAAGCAGCTGGTATGTCTCTCCACTAATGCTGATGCAGGCCAGCCAGACGTGGTGTGGAGGAGATCTCCCACTAAGATTGGTGAGCTTTGCGCCATTGAAAGACCCCAGGCCTTTAAGTTGCTCCAGGACAACATGCGTGGTGTAGACATCTGTAACCAGCTGCTGACGTGCAACCAACTCGGCGGGCTGGTTCTTGACACCAATTGGCGGCGTCTCTTCTGGTTTCTTGTCAACTTGAGCATCATCAACTCTTTCATTGTCCTACGAGAGACCCGCAAAGACAACCCACCAGGGTGGTTTCCGGGGGGTCACTTTTCCCAGGCCATCTACCGTAAACGTCTGGGGTACCAGCTGGCCAAGTGTGCCGAAAGATATGCTCGCCAGAACCAAGTCCACGATAGCATGCCCGAACAACAGATTGTTAAAAAAGAAAATCTGGAGACTCAAGAAGGTGTCAGACATCGATTAGCCAAAATTACGCGTAGGACAAGGAGATGTAAAGTTTGCAACCTGAAAAACGAGCGTCATGAGAGTGTATATGGCTGCACAGCATGCCTTGTGAATCTGTGCAAACGTTCTTGCTGCTTCTGGGACTACCATGGTTTCTCACCTAATTACCAAGGTTATAAAGCTCAAATTCTGACACTAAATATGTTGCACAAAATTAAAGAATACAGATTTCAAACAGCTTTTTAATTGGCATGCATTAAAGTGATAATGCATTGTATTACATATTTTTAACATGGAAGATAGCCTAAACACACTGTTTACATTTATTGTCTTAGATTATTATAATTCATGTTCATTTTTTTCCTGTACAGGTAACGCTAAAGTTGGATTTATTGATTCTAAGAGGTACGTATAATGGAAACCAAAGTTGTTTTCTGACAAACTTAAAATTTCAAGGAATTTATCTATTGCAGGTTGCAATTTTAAATCCAACAATTATTTCAATGTAAATGTAATGTGCAAAAGCTTCTTTATTTTTAATTCGCAAACTTTAAGTTTCAACATTTTTCATGTTATACAGACCCTGGAAAGTGACGCACTATTTCCCTTCCAGGGAAGGCACGGAGCCTGGACTTAAATATCGAACTGAAATGTTGGAAAGAGGCCTCCACAGAGCTTCAGTGGACGTCAAAACTTTTTCACGTGTTGCCAATGCTAGTCTGGATGAAGACGTGGACCAGGAAATGGCCCCTCTAGAAGAGGAAGACACTGACTCAGTCTCTGAGACGACTGAAAGCGATGAGGACATGCCACATCAAACAGTGACAAAACATAAAGTAGAGGGAATGGTAACCAATACGCTTTCACAACCTGTTAAAAACAGAGAGGAGACTCTGTCTATTCATCAGCGTCGAATACTACTCCTTGCGCTGTGCTCCGGGATCCAGAAAGCAGCTAAAGAAATGGACACCAAACCTCAGCTCATTAAGACCTGGCTTCAAGCTAAAGAGAATCAATTAAATGAATGCTGCAGCAGGAGCTGTGGAGAGGCCGTTGATCATCTAGTGGAGTGGGTTCTGACCCAACGGGAACAGCAGCGTCCTATCAGTGAGGCGAAACTGTTCGAAAAAGCTTCAGAGCTCCAAAGCCAAACCAATGAGAGCAGTTCTTTCCGTATTTCTTACGAGTGGGCCGTGAGCTTCATGATGCAGCACAAATTGGGCTTGGATACCTCTTTCACAGTACATCGGGAACTCCCTAATGCCATGGAGGAAAAGTGTCGTCACTTCACAGAGTTAGTCCACAGTCAAATAAAGACAAACAACGTCCCACATTGTGTCATTGGTGCTATGGACCAGCTTTCTGTTTTTGTGGACTTCAACATGCTGAAGGAGAATACCAGAATAAGCAGAGAGACTGCTTTTCAGTTTACTGGTTCTGGGAAGCCTTTTGTAAAGATTTACATTGCAATGCTTGCAAATGGTACAATGTTACCTGCAGCTCTCTTCACAAGTCATGCCGCAAGCACGCTGAGCAAAAGCCCACCAGACTCAATCCTACTAATGGCCAAAGAGGAAGGTTTCAGCGCAATGGAAGAGCTGGACGTTTGGGCCACCAAAGTGTGGAAAAAGCATCTGGACTCACAGAATGAGAACGAAGCCCTGCTGGTTATGGATAGCCATCATAGCCAAACATCTGAGAACGTCATATCCACAATCAGTAGCACCAAAGCATTCCTAGCCACCGTTCCGGCTGGGTGTACGGGCCGACATCAACCTCTAGAGATGTGCGTACGCCCTGTGCTGCAAAGGTTATTTATTGCTCGTTGGGCACAACAACCTAGTGATGGTGCATCTGGGGTCAAGTCTGAAGACCTTGTGCAGCTTCTCGTATCTTGGTTGGAAGAGGCCATGTCTTGCTTCTCTGGTAGGCCTGAATTTATTCAGCACTCATTCTGCTTGGCCCGTCTGCTTCCTGATCAGGAAGCAAATACAAATTTGCCTGGTACTCCGTTGGAGCTGTTAAATAAGCTGTCGGAGGCCATGCTTGAGTCAGAAGTAGTAGATCTGGAGTCAGAAGTAGTAGATCTGGAGTCAGAAGTAGTAGATCTTGAGTCAGAAGAAGAGCCAATGGACACACATACTGTAGGTCAAGTGAACCAGGTAACTGAGAAAATTGATCTGACACTGGACCAAGACGATACAGAAAATGAAGTCGATCAAATGAAGGATGAAGACGCAACACCAATTGAGATAAAAAAGACAGAACAACAAAAGGAAAAAACTGATGAATGTTTGGAAATTGCAAGTGAGTCCACAGATTTTTCACATTCATCCCCTGTATCTGAGACCCCTTCACACAACTCTGAACAAGATCATTTCTCAGAATCCGCTCTGGATCCCAGTGCTTGCCAAACAGACTCTGCAAACAGGTGATATTTGATCTACTAAGAGACGTTGTGAAGGTGATAGAAGGATTTGGGTCAGACATACTTATTTTGGGCTGAATGTGACTGTGGATATTTAATTTACAACTTATTATGTGGTGGAGTGAAAATGTAAAAACATTTGAAAATCTTTTTCTTTTTTACCCTAAATAATGTATAGATTTACAGATTAAACATTGCATGATTGACTTAAGTTTTCTATTGTTTGTTCTTTTTGTTTATTCACTTGTATAAAAATAATCTAATATCTTCCACAGTGTTAGGATTTTTTTTTGTCTATGGACCGATATTACGTGTTTAGATTCTACATCCTCTGTAAGTAAATCAGTGTTTTTACATCTGCTTATGTTTGTAATTTTGAAACTGTAAGGAGAGAAATTTCAATTCATCAAGCCAGATTGAGGCCCGCAGTGGCAGGCGAAATAAAAAAAAATGTTTACACTTAAAAATGTCAAATCAAGCAAATACTATTTCAAACAGCACTAATTAATATTCTTTAATTTAGCGATAATTTATTATTATTTAGCTCTTGCATTTGGATAGGCCAATTCTGAACAATACAACTTTTATTCCATAGCTTTACAGTGTCTGTTCAAAATGCAACACGATTACCATATGTGGCTGTACGAAAGTCCAGATTGCTATGTTGGTTGGCAACAGACTCTTAAGTTCTTCCATTTTAGTTATTTATCCACTTACAGACCGCATAAACCATGATGCCATTGGTATTGCAGCAGCAGTGAATGGAGTAGTATCAGTGAATGTATATTCAGTATTACTTTCAGCATCTGAATTTACCGTAGCACCCACAGGATGGTGCAAGTACACTCCAGGTGACATCCATTGACATTCAATTCAAATATGTTCTGTAGCACTTTATTGGTGCCCTTCCATGTTTGTAAAGGTGCTTTGATTTCATCTCTGTTTGCTGCAACAATTTTGTATGTAATATACATGTGATGTACTGAATGGTGAGACATAGTCTGATTACGAAGGTAAGTGGGAGTTTATATAACTGGGGGTGTTATATAAAATTGATAATTTAAGAGAAAAAAGTGTGCGTGACTTGACATTCTTTGACAATTCCTCATGAATAAACTTTAAATGAACTCATTCTGTGCATAAAGCCCACTCTTTTTTACCCCCTTTTTGCTTTTTTCTTTCTTCACATTTTGTGGGATATAGCACCACAAAATTTCTACCAAATTGTTTTCAGATAAATTGAAAATAAACAGTGAATTCTACATTTAAGGTAAATTTAATCATTCTGGGAAATGTCTGTAATGTTCATCTACTGTGTCCCATTAATTTAAAGTTAAATAATTCATTATAACTAAATGTATAAGTTGAAATGCTTTGACATTTGAATTACAGGTATGCACCCTTGCTACCTAAATTCAATTTCAGAAACCGATTTGGAATGGAGGCTGTAGATTTAACACTACAAAAAACGAATCTATTACAAACATTAATAGTTTTGTGATTTGTTTTCGGCCGTGTAAAGATTTTATTTAGCCTATAGCAGCTGCAGTTGATTTTCTCTTACCAATGTAGGCTACTAACTCTGAGAAAGTTATTCAATAGGGCAAGTACACAACAAGAAAGGGGGTGAATTTCCTGTTTGCGTGCTGATTTAAGGGACAGAGGTGGCAAACGACATTTGATCTTTTTAATCTTCAGTTGAATATCCGGGTGTGGTTTTTCAGGATCATCTCACAGTCCCAGTGGTGTTACTGTTATCGCTGAAAGAGTTAATCCAACAGTTATACAATATTTCTGCACGTCCGACGCGCTTTATCGAGTCAGTGTTTCCGCCTTTGCAAGCAGCAGCATGGGTAAGTTAATTCACTTCTAATGCACGTTTGACCATTGCAGAATTTTTGATTACACTTTATTTAAAGCATTCTCATGTTTAGTATCCAATAGCTCCAGTTTTGAGGAAAGTGTTGCTTTTCAATTTCAAGTTTTCAATTCTTTAGGCCTTGACTAGCCTACCTGTCAAAGTCATTAAGGTAGAATTCGTGCAATATTGAAGCTGCGTTTTAACATTTTTACCGATGCATGTTGAAGCCTTTAAGGCCCCATTTAATCGAAATCGAAGTTGTTGTTGTTGTTGTTTTTAACAGTGCGGGTGGTGCTGACGATTAACGTTTATACAGCAAACACATATATGTGTTGCGGTTCTTTACTCAGTTTTACTTTATTAATGTATCTTGTGCGTGCAGTAGTGCAATACAGAAGTAATTATGTTAATACAAATAATAATAAACAAATAAAAAACGTATACTACAACATTATTGATGCCCCATTAGACTCCACAAGGAATTGACATAGACAGACCTTTAAAAAAAGTTAGAAGTTTGCTTTATTTTCACAACACTTTTCATTCGGAGATAGTTGTTCAGTGAGGAGGCTGACCTTACATGCATTTGTCTGGCTATCAGGGGAAGGATGTTGAGCAATTCTTGGCAAGACACGTTGTCTCCTAGATCGTAACATTGCCCATCTGTTGTAGTTGGTTTGCATTTGTATGTGTATTTGTTTACACGTCTACAGAACAGTAAAATGTATTCCAATAGTTTACTTGGCCAGGCATCATTCATGCCTTTTAAGAATGTACACAGTGACGAACTCATACTCATATGCTGCTCTATGCAGGCAAATAGATCATCACAAATCCCACTTTGAAATAATATATATTTTTTTTTTACTTCATGCTTTTATTCAATCTCTCAAACTTTTATTACGGATGAAATGCTACAACAAGCAACGTTGGGTGTATACTTCCCAGATTGCAATTGAGTTGAGTTTGGCCTGCTTTAATTTTTGTGAGTGTAACTCACATTGTGATTTACACTGTGACATTTGTTGTCCGCTTACAGCTTCAACTTGTTCAGGATGTGGACCAGGATATAAAACCCCTCTGGATGCTATGAAAGGTGAGTTGCTTTAAAAGCGCAAGGCAAAATATTCTGTGAATGAAAGGTTGGTAGAGTATATTACCATGAGTTAGTACTTCATAGTTGCAACACACCTACACTACTAGAGATCTACTGTCATCATCTGATCTGGCAGCTCCTCCTCCTTACCACCAGAGGTCCCCCTTACTTGTAGATTGGCATTGTTCTGCATTGTTTGGTTTGCCTTCTGTTTTTTACAGTCTATGGTTTTACCTCACATTTGCCCTGTCCAAATACCCCCACTGGTGGTGTTTGCACTTGACGCATTTCCTGTATTTGGCCCAAGTGTTCAAGTAGGCGTGAAGACTGCAAGTGTGTATAGAACTTTTGATTACCTGATCGGTTGGAAAAAATGAAAGTGTTTACAGAGCTTTTTTTATTACTATTATTTTCAATTCTTTGCATTTTAAAATAAACTTCTAAATGTCTGTTCGGTATTCGCTATGTAACTAACAGAAGACGTGATTTTAAAATTGTGTCTCTTCTAATTAAGTGATAAAAAGAAGCAAATTTTGTACAAAATACACATACCCTACTCATCTTTATGTTTTACTACCAAATTATATGTAATATCGAATTAATTTAACTTACAGTGGAATGTTTCCCTTTATATCTCGAGATAGTGTGGGTTTAGTGTGCATTAAGGGCACTGCACTTTGGCATTTTTAAGACATGGGACTTGCACTTACTCACTCTCTCAAGTGGCCAAGACCGCAAGTGTGGATTTGGACAGGGCAGTTGTCATGTTGCATTTAGTGTAGTGAGCCAGGGTCCTTACCAGTGCCCGAACTCGTGTGCACAATATACTGGTTCAGACATAGGGAGCTGATTGACGCACCCGTCTTTTTTGATTTTGCTTCTGAATTTACCTTCTTCAAATTTAATAAAATCCCTTGCCATACATCATAAACCAAAGTCATTATGTATAGATCACTGCGCCAAAAGAAAGTAACTTTGAATAAAAACAGTTTATAGTCAAACTATAAAATGGGTGGGGGTTTGAAAAAGGTAATAATACATTTCTATATGATTTTAAACATTTTATCAGACAAAAATGCTTTTAAGCTAATAAATTGCATTGTCACTTACATAGGCTATTAGAACTTATAAGCATTAAATGATAATAAATGTAATTGATTAAATTCATTTATTTTATTTAATATATAAATGTGATCGATCTATCGTGAATGGGAAAACCAGTATACATTTTGTCTTTGCAAAATTTGTTTTTTAATACAGTTTTTTTTATATATTTAAAATAAAATTTCAGTTCAACTGGCTATATGCACTGAATGTAAATATAAAATGTAATTATAAATGTATATATGCATATGCATATATATAAAAAAACACCATAATCACATTCGTTTTTAAAATTGAATAAATCTATTATTTTTATTTTGTGCATTTAAGCTTGCAAAACTCTTAAAAAGCAGATGTTAAGTGCAATTCATCAAATGTTTTAGACACAAATAGTACACCCTTTAGGAAATTAATTATTAAATGATAGGAAACAAAGATCAATAAATGTTTAAACTCTAAACTTAAAAATAAATTCTTCCAACAGGTCCTCGAGAAGAGATCGTCTACCTGCCATGCATTTATCGCAACACAGACATCCAGAAACCCGATTATCTTGCAACTGTTGATATCAATCCAAAATCTCCCAATTTTTGCAAGGTAAAAGCAAATATGATTCAAAACTAAAACTGTTTTAGATCAGAGTGTGTGGCAGCAACACATTTACTTAAATTATTTCCTAGTATAACAGTTACTATAGTAACATTTTCTCCATTTTGTGATGGTCTAGGTGATTCATAGGTTGCCCATGCCCAATCTGAAGGATGAATTACATCATTCTGGTTGGAACGCCTGCAGCAGTTGTTATGATGATTCCTCCAAAAGGCGCAATCGTCTCATTCTACCTTCCCTGATCTCCTCCCGTATCTACGTCGTTGATGTAGGGACGGATCCTCGGGCTCCACAGCTTCACAAGGTTCACAAGAGTCTGTCTATATAGAAATACACACATTTGGATGGTGTTAACTTAGTAAACATCTGGGTTAGTAATTTGAGGTAGTAAAAACTCCTGAAGGGCTATTCTTACTTCTATGCATACACTTGTGATTTTGATCTTTTAATGCTTGCTAAAGTACTTAATACTTCAAGTTTGGTAAACTCAGACCAGCTAATTTGTATCATGAAAAAAAAACTTTTGACCAATGGATGTCACAATCTAAAAGATGAACCACTTGGGTGAATATAATTTTTTTTTTTTAAGTGAATTCATATCATCTTGATTTAAAAGCTCTATTAAAGGAATAGTTCAGCCAAAAATAAAAAATTATCCCATAATTGACTCCTTAGGCCATCTTAGGTGTATATGACTTTCTTCAGAGTTATATTAAACAATATCCTGGCTCTTCCCAGCCTTGTAATGGCATTGAATAGAGTTTTTGAAGCTCCAAAAAGCGCATCCATCCTTCATAGAAAGTAATGCATCCATACGACTCGAGTGGGTTAATAAATGCCTTCTGAAGCAAAACTATGGGTTTTTGTAAGAAAAATATCCATATTTAAAGGGGTCATATAATGGTACATGCACTTTTTCAAGTTGATTGTACTGAAATGTGTGTTGGCAGTGCCTCTACACAACCATCATAAAATGATAAAAATCCATCCAGTGTTTTTGTTTTAATCTCCTTATATGTTTTCCCCTGCCTCAAATCGAGCCGTTCGACCGTGTGACGTCACACGGTCGGACGCCCCTCCCGCGATTGTTGATTGACAGCCGCGTTTCAACACAGACCCGCCCTCGCTCGTGAGAGCTGTCAATCATAGTCTGCGCGGACCGGCGCGGTCATTGTTGATATGCTGGAGCACTGTCTATGAGCAGAATGGCGTCTAAGCGATTGTGGTGTTCTGTTCTTGGGTGCAATAAGGAACACAGCAGTCATTTTAATGTTCCTAAATCCGAACCGCTGAAGACGCAGTGGCTGAGTTTTGTTTTCGAAGGGAATATTCCCCACGAGCAACGTCAATGCTCTCATGTTTGCGCGAATCATTTCTCAGCAGACTGCTTTATAAACGAGGGTCAGTATGAGCTGGTTTTGCTAAGAAGCTGCACCTGAATAAAGGATCGGTACCAGCTATTCGTGTTCCTGCTGAACCTCCAGAAGAACTGAAGTGAGTGTAACGTTTTATTAAACTTTATATTAATATTTATATCTTTGCAAATCGCTAGCTGCACGCTTCACGATGAATGCGTCTAAGGTTTACACTCAGGGTACGTTACGGCATGTTTTCTATGTACGACGTTCTCAATATAATTCATAATCCCACGTTTATAATGAACAACGCGTTATGGTTATTGTGTTACAAACGTGTACGCACAGAACAGAGGGGCGGAGTGAGCACAGCTCATGATCATTTAAAGTCATATGCACTGAAACGGCGTGCTGAAAACAGAGCTGTTTTTGACCAGGTAAAATAAGTGTTTTCTTACAATACTAATGAGAATTTTTAATTAAAGTATATTACAAACTTTTAATTTAGACCCTAAAGAATCATATTAGCTTGTACAAAAATGGCATTATATGACCCCTTTAAAACTTTATAATCTATAATCACTGGCTTCACACGCGAGACGAGAGAGTCGAGTTCCGGCAGAAGGGTGACCTCTGACCCGACGTAGCGTAAGCTTAAGTGAGAGTAGACTTGTGAACGTGTGTGTGTGTGGCGGTTGCCGGAAGCCAGTGATTATAGTTTATAAGGTTTTAATATGGATATTTTTCTTACCAAAATACTCTTCGCTTCAGAAGGCATTTATTAATCCACTGGAGTTGTATGGATTAATTTATGATGGATGGATGTTCTTTTTGGGGCTTCAAAAGCTTGGGCACTATTCAATGCCATTACAAAGCTGGGAAAAGCCAGAATATTATTTAAAATAACTTCGATTGTGTTCGGCTAAAAGAAGTAAGTCATATACATCTAGTATGGCTTGAGGGTGTGTAAATTATGGGATAATTTCCATTTTTGGGTGAACTATTCCTTAAAGTTTTGCAGCAAACTGGAGTGCATTTTAGCAGTCTAATTTTATTTTAGAAGCCCAGAAGCATGACATCATGTCCTGTTGCCTTTATTGATTGGGGTCCGAAGACATTTTTTTAACGTCTACAACAGAATGCTTTGACATCAAGAGTGACCACCCCTTAATACATGACTGTTGACTCTGAGAATGTTTTGCTCTTGCCAAACCCGTGAATTCTTTCCATCTCTGTCCTTCTCCAGATAGTCGAGCCCACAGATCTGTTCTGGAAATGTGGCCTTGCCAACCCCCACACTTCTCACTGCTTAGGCAGTGGTCAAATCATGATCAGTACCATGGGCGATCCCTCTGGCAATGGCAAGGGTAAGATGCTGTGTTTACCTCACTGTATTTACAATACACACTAGGCTTACTTTTTGTTTGTGTTCATTGTAAGGTGGTTTTGTGTTGCTGGATGGCGAGACTTTTGAAGTCACTGGCAACTGGGAGCAGCCAGGTGAAGCAGCACCGTTTGGTTATGACTTCTGGTACCAGCCTCGCCACAATGTCATGATCAGCACTGAGTGGGGAGCGCCTAAAGCTTTGGGAAATGGCTTCAACCCTGCAGATGTCAAAGCTGGTATGTGTACGTTCAACAGTATGTTTGATGCATCGCAGCCGACTGGGAGTGATGATCGGATCTGTTTGCAGGTCACTATGGGCAGCGCCTCCATGTGTGGGACTGGACCACACACAAGCGGATTCAGACTCTGGATCTGGGGGAAGAGGGTGCTATTCCTCTAGAGATCCGGTTCCTGCACGACCCTGCTGCGGCTGAAGGATTCGTGGGCTGTGCGCTTCAGAGCACCGTCTACCGCTTCTACAAGACTCCGGCAAGTACATAAAAAAACCTTTCACAGTTAAAATCGTATCTAGCCTTTTTATAAAGGCTAAAACGTGAACGTTAAAGGCCTTCTTTTTTCAGTTTTTAGGCAGTTCATATTTTTAGCTTCAAATTTTGTTTTACAGAAAGGGGACTGGGCTGCAGAGAAAGTCATCAAAGTTCCTAGTAAAAAAGTGGAAGGTTGGGCTCTTCCTGAAATGCCAGGTAAATGCTTTTGGAAATGTAGTATCATTTTTTTAATTAATGGAAATACTCATTCAAATTCTTATGTACAATGTGATTTCCACAAAAAATCACAGCTGAACGGAGAAAAGAAAAAGAAACAGAAATATACTCTAGTAGATCAATAACTCCCAAATATGATGATCCCCTTGAAAAGGACAGAGGTGGCTATATATTTTTGTGTATAAAGACCCATTTATACTCTGTGAAAAAAATATTACGTGTGACATTAAATAATTGGCTTTTTTAAAATGAAATTTGGATAGTTGAAATTTGTCATTGTACTAAAGTCTAAAGAAATTATTAAAATATTCTGGTATTAAAATATTGTGGGGTTTTTTTTCTTTGTATTGTTAATGTGATGTAAGATTTATCAACCTTTGACTGTTAAAAACTTGGCCTGTCAATAAAATAGTTATTATTATAGTTATTAGTTTCTTATTTTAACTGTTTTTTTTTTAAACGAATTAAACTGTAATATTAAATGTAATAAACGTTTAAAAAATCTTGTACTAAACATTGATATCTAACAGCCCTGATATCTAACATTACTACGTTTTCCTTGGACCACAGTTTTACAATCTGCTATAATGGCAAAAAGTGAAAATATTCAAATAGTGTCTGGAGATTGTGTATATTATTTTCTATATTTTTATAGTGTAATGTAGGATGTATAATACTTTTTAAAAAATATTTTATGGGATTTATTTCTCAATTTTGGACTCGTTTTTAAAAGAATGAAATTGTAATAACATGAAATTTTGTAAATGTTTAAAACATGTCGTAATAAACATTTAATATTTGAAAATACATTTAGTAAAACTTTTTTCTTTCTCTCAATGTTTTCCCCCTTTTGGATTTTCCCTGGATCCCAGTTTGACAACCTGCTATAATGTCAAAAAGTAAATAAAAAAAAAGACACCGTTACTCATGTTTTTCTTTTTTTGCCATAGGTCTCATTACTGATATCTTGATTTCATTGGATGATCGCTTCCTCTACTTCAGTAACTGGTTGCATGGAGACATTCGACAGTATGATGTCACCGACAGGAGGAATCCACGTATGGTTGGTCAGGTAAGACAACTTCCGATTAGCAGAATCAAGATTTGTCTTCATTTATAGAATCATGTGAACGACGAATAAAGTGTCAAAACAGCAAACCGTGCATTTTTAATTCATGAAATGCTTTTTTGAGGTCTTCCTTGGTGGCAGTATTTTGAAAGATGGACCAGTGAAAGTATTGGAGGACAAAGAACTGGACAGCCAGCCAACCCCACGGATACTGAAGGTACCTTTTCATTTCCAAGTATGCTTCATGTGAGCGCTGTGTACAGAGTTAGACATTTGAGTTAGACATTTATGCAGAGGAAAGCAGCCTAAAGCTGTTGGCAACTAACTAATTGACACATGACCCAGCTTAATGTCCTCCAAATCATTAGGTCATACAGAGCTAAACAGAGCAATTAGAGCACATCCTTTGGTGGAGGTTGAAATGTTCCTTTCCTCATCAGGGAAAGCGGGTACAGGGAGGTCCTCAGATGCTTCAGCTGAGCTTGGATGGAAAACGACTGTATGTCACCACTTCTTTATACAGTGCCTGGGACAAGCAGTTCTACCCTGACCTTGTCAAGTGAGACAAAAAAAATTATAGTATTTTGTGGAAGTAATAATAATATAGGTATGAAAGCTTGTTTTCGCCACGGAATACATTTTTTAAAAAGGTAATTGCTACCTTTTCTCTCACAATTCTGAGAAATAATGTCAGATTTACGAGATATAAAACGTGTAATTCTAACTTTATAACTCGCAATAAGTGAGTTTACATCTCATAGCTGACTTTATAACTCAATTGAAGTTCTGTATATCTCACAATTCTGAGGGGAAAAAATCTGAATTGCGAGGTATAAATTCTGACTTTATTTCTCAGAATTGTGATTAAAAAGGTGCAATTACCATTTAAATTCTGTGTTTGATTTGATTCTTTTTTTCAAAGAATTAATTGAGAGATATAAACTTGCAATTCTGACTTTTTAAAATAAAGTCGAAATTCTGAGTGATAAAATATAAATATAGGTATGAAAGCTTGTTTTTTCCATGGAATTAAAAAATTAAATGGGTAATTGCAAGTTTTTATCTACCATTTCTGAGAAATAGTCACAATTCTGAGATAAAAAAGTAAGAATTGTGAAAAAAAAAAAGAAAAAAAAATTCCTTTTTTTTTTTGTGGCAGAAACAAGCTTCCATGGTATAGGTCAAGCATTATAGACTTGTAAAGGCTGTTTAAATTGTTTCAGAAATAACCTCTGATTTGTTTATTATGCTCTTATTTCACTTTAGGGAGGGGTCAGTCATGATGCAGATTGACGTGGACACAGATAAAGGCGGCCTGAAGCTCAACGAGAATTTCCTTGTGGATTTCGGAGCAGAGCCAGAAGGTCCTGCTCTTGCTCATGAGCTCAGATATCCTGGTGGAGACTGCACTTCTGATATCTGGTTATGAAATTAGGGCCAAGCCATCATGTTCCTAGGAGCAGAATTATTATTCCCATATTCTCACAATTGAATGGAGTTATATCATCATTTTACAATCATGTTTAGTCTTTGTATGGACCAAATCCTTAATCATATTATGTGTCTATTAGCGATTCCAGGAGTGAATATGTTGTAAATGACATCTCAACTACAAAAACTTATTTTGATTGTCTTTGTACTCTTTCTACTATTGTTTTAAATACACATTATGTATCCCAATGAACTCAAAGGATGTGTTGTTGTAAGGGTTTTCCAAATCAGAATTGCAAAGCAGATTTTAAACACGTGATGCAGGGGCAAAGAGAGAGGACACACTCACCATTACTATAAGGGCACATATTTTGAACTATCCGGTTTCGAATATGTTCTAACATAAGCAATCAATTATGTTGCATTTTTGTTTTCTGTTTTTAGAAACTCTATATGGACATATAACAACTGTAATAACAAATGTGAATATTTTAACATCTTATTTGTCATCAATGTGCAGAGAAAGAGAATAAATACAACAGCGCAAACGATTTTCATTGAGTTCCGTTAGTTGGGCTAGTTAATTTTTAGGTTTATTGCCATTCATATAATACAAGTATGAAAAGTGATCTCTTCAAGTCTGCAGATAAGGACAAATATTGTTTTGTAAACAAGCAGACTTTTTTTTTAACAAAGTACTGTAACATGAATAAGTACAATACAACAATAAATAGAAGGAATAGGTCAAATGGTTAGTAATAAATATAACAAGCATCAAGTGAAATGTCATCCACTGACACAACCAAATGAAATCTGCAGTAGTAATGATTGTGCTAGTGAAAATGTATTTAATTTTTACTTTTAAAAATTAATAATTACTTTATATATGGGTGTGTGTTTATAGAAATATATAATATATTACTTTTCAATTAATTTATTATCCTTATTAGTATTATTGTTGATAATGTTCTTCTTGTTCTAAAATGTTGAGCAAAACGTTTCAACATATGTTTTTAATGCATTAACATCCTATAAAAAAGAGCAAGCATATAACAAATCAATCACACACACTCTTTACCTGTGTCTCGTAGCCTGGAGAGCTTCCTACCTAGATAACAGTTGTGGACATTGCATACACGGCCGAGAATGCTGTCTTGTGTTTTGAGCCACAGGATGTAAGTGTGTATGCTGGAATCAGGCAGTTGATGTGGGCAGCCTCTGCTTGTGTCATCTCGCCACTCACTTTCTTAGCGAACAACACCGGCTATTCAGCAACAGGAGAACCGCACCTCCCAAATGGGGCAGTTAAAACACAGATAAACCGATTATTTATAACTTCACCCGGATTATTTTGAGGTAAGTTATAGGGAAGCATGATCGTTTGGGTCGGTTCAAAAGTAGAAGAACGTTATAAAGTAGAGACGTTGCGTTAGCTGCTTTGCTAAGTGTAGCATCCGTTTGTGTTTTTATGAGGCTGATCTATTCAGGCCTTAATAACAGTTGAACTATGTAATAATGTAATTGTTAAGTTATTCTCAAGTCCAGCCCACTTACTGTTACACTGTTTTTCATTTAAAAAATGAGCTTGAGCCCTACAAGAGAGAAAAGTAGTTGACGTGTCTTTTAAATGTCTCAGCTAAACATGCTCAGATGCTAACTTGAGTTTTGACTTTTGCATCTGAATGATAGACTGCTTACTTTTTTAGCGTCTGAAGTAAGAAAAAACAGGCAATATTATGATTATAAAACGTATCAGAGTGTAAATATGGGCGTTATTACGAGGTTTGGCACCCACGAGTGAATATTTAGCTTGATGTGCTTGTACTCCCAATTGGCTTTAGACTTAACTACGAAAGGAAATGCCATTGATTATGTTTTTATGGCAAGTCGATTAACCAGTTCACCATTATAATTGTAGTTTATTTAGATCTGTATGCCCTGTTTGGGACAACTGATGCATCATTTCTGTCCAAATTGTAGCTACCTATTGGCTTGGCTAAGTTTGTTGATTTTGTTTCAGTGGGCTTGATCTGAAGAATGTTAGATTTCATGGTTTATTTACCGTATGTTGTTGCAGTCTTGTTATCGATAATGGCTTTGGATTGTGGACAATGTTGTGGGTGTTGGCAGAAGAAGACTCTTGAGACTGATCATTCATGATCTACATGTTATGAGTTCCTGTAGATCACTGTTTCACACTGTCCTGCTCTCACATTTCAGGGCCAAGGCTGATTGAATTTACTTTTTCCATTGCAATCTGAGAGGTTCAGTGAAACGTTTTGATACCGAGAAATAAAAATAGTCCTGTGCTTGTGGTTTGATTGTGTGAATCAGTGTTTCAACTGTTACCACTTTATGCTCGTAGTGTTTTTTTGTTTTCAGTTGTGCAGAATTTAATTTGGAGAAAGCGCTGGCAAGCTAGAACAACACACAAACTGTCAGTTCAGAGTAAACTATCCGAGTTGGATTCAGCAAGTGATACGTGAGAGGAGAGCTGGCACTCCGGTCAAAGATGACTCAGTCTCCACCAGTGGACATGTGCTTTAATCTCATCACTTTCAGAATCAGTTTTCATTTCTTCTGTTATAGTTTCAATTCTGTTCTTACATTTCAGTGATCTATCTAAGAACAACCACTTTTGCTCATGCTGATTTCTTTCATCAAGCTAAACTAATCAATCAAACTCTGATCTGAATTTCCATTGTTAACTTTAGGACTTTCCATCATTACCACTAACAAAATGAAAGTGGAACCAGGGGTACATCTTCATTAAGTTCATGACCTTTTCTGGTGAACTGCGTCTTTCTGACAGAATGTTATGTTTTAAAGCAGAATGGGTTTTATAATGTAGCAGCTTTGTGGAATCTGAGACTGATGCTTCACTTTATCTGATATTGGCCTGCTGGTAATGGTGAGGTAATCTGCTGGAGGCGGATTATGGCGCTGTCCTCCGTGGTTGTGGATCAGTGGGACGCTGTGACCCTGAGGAAGTGGCTTTTAGTAAAGCCTGTTCCTCTGAGTTATTGTGAATTTTATATTTGAATGGCAGTTTTTACAGGATTTGTGGTCATATCAGCATATTTTGACAAAAGTCAAAACTTTTGTCAATATGTACACTACAATCCAAAAGTTTGGGGTTTTGAAAGAAGCCTCTTATGCTCACCAAGACTTCGTTTATTTGATTAAAACTACAGTAATATTGTAAAAAAATGAAAAGAAAAATATATTACTATTAAAAATAAGGTTTCTATTTTCATATATTTTAAAATGTAATTCATTCTTGTGATGGCAAAGCTGAATTTTCAGCATCATTACTCCATTCTTCAGGGTCACATCACATGACCCTTCAGAAATCAGTCTAATATGCTGATTTGGTGCTCAAGAAACAGTTGTGCTGCTTCATATTTTTGTGAAAACTTTTTTTCAGGATTCTTTGTTGAAAAGAACAGCATTTATTTGAAATAGGAATCTGTTATATGGCATGCTACAAATGGGTTTACTGTCCCTTTTTATCAATTTAATGCCTCTTTGCTGAATTAAAGAGGTAATTTCTTTTCCACTCATAAACATGACATTACATCAGTTTAAATGCATTGGATGTCATCATGTTTTCTGCTTTGTCAAGCTTGCTGATTGTGTCTCTCTGTGTTTTACAGTGGCCATGGGTGACACAGAGCTGGAGCTCTCTCCCGCCCGGCTTGAGGAACTACAGAAGAGCCCATCCACCTCCTCCACCTCCAGTACCTCCTCACTGTCCCTGCCCTCGTCTCCCTCTTCTGGCCCTCGTGCCCTCACCAGCTCCAGCCCGAGCACCAGCGAAGGCCTGCCCACCTCCAGCCCCACTCTAGATGTCATATCAGAGGGAGTGGGCGAACTCAGCCTGGTCATTGATACCGAGGTGGCCAAAAAAGCCTGCCAGGAGGTCCTTCAAAAAGTAAAGTTCCTGAAGCCTGATGGAGAAGTATCTTCAGCCACTTCAGAGCCCGTTTTGGTGAACGGTACAGCACACCCCGAGTCCACCGATGGAGGAAAACCTCCTAAGATCACCGCGGAGGAAGCGGAGCCCGTGAAGAGCGTGCGTCGTCGTCAGAAGAACAACTCCTCCAAGCAGTCCTGGCTCCTGCGGCTCTTCGAGTCCAAGCTGTTCGACATCTCCATGGCCATCTCCTATCTTTACAATTCCAAGGAGCCCGGCGTGCAAGCCTACATCGGCAATCGGCTCTTCAGCTTCCGGAATGAAGAAGTAGACTTCTACTTGCCCCAGTTGCTCAATATGTACATCCACATGGACGAGGATGTGGGCGATGCCATCAAGCCCTATGTGGTGCACCGCTGCCGGCAGAGCATAAATTTCTCCCTGCAGTGCGCCTGGCTGCTGGGGGCCTACTCCTCTGACATGCACATCTCCACGCAGCGCTACTCCCGTGGCACCAAACTGCGCAAACTCATCCTGTCAGACGAGCTCAAGCCCTCCAGCCAGCGCATCCGCAGGGAGGTGCCGCAGCCTCCCCCCTCCTGCCCCCCACCCCTCCACCACGGCCAGGGCATGAGCGAACACAGCCTCTCGCCCTCCAAACGCACCCACCAACGCTCCAAATCTGACGCCACGGTCAGCATCAGCCTCAGCAGCAACCTGAAGAGAACCGCCAGCAACCCCAAAGTAGAGACCAGCCAGGATGAGGTGAGACACCTGTGATGATGTCACATGCTTGCTTGCCTAGCTAGTTACACGTAAGCTGATTTTAGTTGATCAGTCTCTGGCCGTCGCTTCCACCTCCCACAGATGGTGTTTCTCAGCTGTTTCATGCAAACGAGGAAGGCAAACAGCCCAGATTTGTGTGGTTTCTATGGCTGTGCTGGAAAAGGCGTGTCGATGTGAAGCTGACACTTAGACAAGCTCTGTAAAATAAATAGAATTTCATGTAGTTACTTTAATGACAGATGGATGAGCTACTATTTTAAACACAATGCGAGCTGTCTTCCTAGGCAGCATCCTAACTTAAATTGAACCTAAAAAATGTCTGATTTGGCACGATCCTCATAGGTGACAACTTTGACAAACAACACTCTTTATGTAAAAACACGGGAGAGTCAACTTACAATTGATTCTCATAGACTTTAATGTTAGCATCTAATAAGCATAATACAGATTTTTTTCAACTACAATTTATATATATATATATATATTGTCAATGTTTCTCTTGATATCATCTGACTTTTTGTATTAACTTTTTCATTGATACTGTTGTGATGGTGACTTACAATTTGGCCAAAACAAGTTATCTTAGAAGGCAGCCTTTTCAAAAAAGACTTGGTGTCAGGAGTACTGAAAATTCTCTATTTCTAAATGCATGTTATTGATCTTGTTGTGAACGATTCATCCATGCAATATGTTTCATTTTTTTAAATCAAAATGTCATAACTTGATCTTCTGGTGAAACAACATACTTTGACCAAATTTAGTCTGCTCAATCCCTGCCCCTTTCTTACAATCAACTGCAAGCTCACAAGAGCTTCTTTCGTCCAATCAACAACCCATTGATTGAAACAAATCTCCCCTACTTTTTTTTTTTTCGATTAATATTTTTTACTCTGATGTACTTCACAATATTGAAGAAAAGATTTGTCCCTACTTCCGTTTCATCAAGACTTTAAAATGTTGTCTACGTAGCTCACTAGGTTTTGGAACAGAGCTGTGTCGTCCTACTGTGCTTGAGTTGGTCTGCCACGTCGCAGCTACGAATATTAATTTTTTAGTGCTAATCCCAGTAAAGGCAGAAGCCAATAGGGAGATGAATAGATTTTTGTTTTTGCTATCAGAAAATAATTAACTACCACTGGTGCCTGATTTCCAGAAGAATGATGACATCTCTGCTGCTCTTCTGTTGGGACATCCCCTCTCTGTGTGTTAATTTGCACAGTCATGATAATAGTCCTCAGGGCTAAATGTCATGCCACTAACAAACAAATCACTTCTCACACTGTTAATAATTGCCACGTTGCGAATCACAGCTCTAGGATTAGATCCAAGGTCAGTGTGGCAGACAGATCAGATCAGTTTGTACCACATCCATCGGATTATTGTTGTATCATGGGAGATTCCAGGTCGCCGACAGTAAATTTTAATAATAGCAGATGAGACCTGCACACATTTTTTTTGCTGAAACACTGTATTTACTCAAAGCATGTGAAAAAAATCTTCATTGAGAGCTGCAAGTAGATTTCGGAACTGCTAGACAAGTAAGTCTAGCAAGTAACAAGTACTGTTACACAAATATAGACTAAAATGCACCTTTCAAAGTGAATTTTTTTTTGTTCAATTTGAACAAAATGTTTTTGAAAAAAGTCGCTTACCTTACCGTATGCATTTATTTGATAAAAACAAAACAAAAAACAGTAGTATTATTATGAAATATTATTGCAATTTACAATAACTTCTATTTTTAAATATTTTAAAATGTAATTTATCCCTGTGATGCAAAGTTGAATTTTCAGCAGACATTATTTATCCAGTCTTCAGTTTCACATGATCCTTCAGATATGCTGCTCAAGAAACATTTCTTATTAGCAATGTTGAAAACTCTTATTTTTTTCAAATAGAAAATTTTGTGGTAACCGTGATACTTTTTTTCAGGATACTTTGATAAAAAGAAAGTTCAAAAGGAAACCATTTATTTGAAATAGAAGTCTTTTTAAGATTATAAATGTCTGACTTTTAATTAAATTAATGCACCCGAGCTGAAAAAAGTATTAATTTCTTTATAAAAAAACATAGTAACCCCAAATGGTAGTGTATCGATCACTAGTATTAGTAGTGTATGGTTTTTACCCTAATGCATGTATTATATGAAGTAGGTTTTCTCTGTCAAACAGGAAGACTTGTGATGACTTTGAACTTCAGATTGTGCATTTATCTTTTTCCCCCTTATTAGTACGCTAATCGATGTGGTCAAAGGGAGTGGAAAGTAATTACAATGTAGCAATGCACCATAATACACTCTTTAATTATTTTCTGATAAGGGTTTGTTTTCGAAAGACATTTTCATATGAAGACTAATTCACTGCTGTGTATCAGTGTGATTTTGCACCTGTGTATACTGAAATCCCTTAGCTTGTCCATGCCAACCATATTAACCCATTTGATAAAATTATTACCTAATGCTATTAATGTCAAAATGACTGTTTAGTTGGTCTGGACAATATGTGTCAAAGCTTAAGTAGCAGCTTTTCACCTTCTAGATGGAAACTGTTTGTTAGTATAGTCGTGCCCATTGCCATTTGTATTTCCCGACCATTATATTGTGTCAGTGAAACTGTATGGCAGAACGTTATGTAATAACCTACCTTGGATCAAGTTCTACTGAAGTGTAACTTTAGAGGTCCCTTCAGATTTCAACCTTGTCGTACACCACGGCCTCTGTTCTGACGTTCAGTGATGTGCACATGATCACTCGCCTTCCTCTTTTATCTGCCTGCAGCATAGTTTCTTCCCTAGCTTCTTCCTCGAATGTGATCTTGGTGCAGCATTTGCTGCTATGGCAACGGCGATGTTGCCATTCACATGGCTGTGAGCCGCTCCACTGGTAAATGGAGTAAAGATCAGCGATTATGAAATGCGTTGCTCCACAACTCCTCCACACTGTTTACACACTTCAGCGAACTTCTTTTCTTTTGAGAGCAGAAGGTGTTAACATAGGAATGCCACTGTTTGCTTTTATCTCCACCATGTGAAGTGTAGTGTAGGTGTCTAATGTGAATTGCATTAAGCCCGAATAAACATTAATCAGTATAGTGCTGCTCAAAGGCTTGATGGCCTGTCTTTGCAAATGAACAGCTGAATGATGTAAATAAGAAATGTAGAAATGCTGTATTGTAGGGGTGTAAGGGTTTAAATTATTCATGGTTTGGTTTTTGTCACGGTTTTAGGGTCACGGTTTGTGTGTTCAGGGGAATAAAAATACAGAACATAGGAGTAAAATCAATCAAACTACAAGCAACAGAACAAATAAATACAATCGAGCAAACATACAAATTCCTTTTCAGGTTATTTGGGTATCTAACGGTAGTTTTCAGGTACAGAAATTGAATAAAGAAATCAAATGTAAAATAACATTGATTAAGATTAATCATTATTAAAGTTACAAAAGCTGTTGTCAAGAGCAGTGAGTGATTTCCTTGTCTTTTGTTGTTTGATAAACATTAATAACACAGACAATTAGGAATATTAGGCTGCTGTCACTTTAAAACATAATAGACTGATCCAAAATACTGATAGACATGTGCTGTCTTGACAGTTTACGTTAACTTAAAGGGATAGTTCACCCAAAAATTTAAATTACACCATGATTTACACTCCCTCAAGCCATACTAGGTGTGATGACTTTCTTCTTTCAGACGAATACAATCAGAGTTATATTTAAAAATATGCTGGCTCTTCCAAGCTTTATAATGGTAGTTGAATGACAGTCCTGATTTTGAAGTCCAAAAAAGTGCATCATAAAAGTATTCCACACGGCTCCGGAAGCGAAACGATGCGTTTGTGTAAGAAAAATATCCATATTTATAACTTCATAAACTAAAATAACTAGCTTCCGACGTATGTACATACGCATCGATTTACGGCGAAAGAGTAACCCTGACCTGATGTATTGACGAACGCAAAAGCTCAGATGATAGAGCAAAACAAAACACGGTCATGAATTAGAAGTCTAAAACGTGAATTTTTAAAGAGAAATGTCGGATGATTTCGATATAAGAGAAGAGGAGCTTGAGTTTGTTGCCCAGCCCTATTTGTCTGAACCGCGAGAGGCGTCAAAGCTTACGCTACTCCTACGTCATACATCGCATCAGGGGTTACTCTTTTGGCGTAAGTCGACTTGCGTAGGCCTTGCCGGAAGCTAGTTATTTTAGTTTATAAAGTTTTATATGTGGATATTTTTCTTACAAAAACCCATCGCTTTGCTTCAGAAGGCCTTCATTTAAGTCGTATGGATTACTTTTATGATGGATGAATGCACTTTTTTGGACTTCAAATTCAGGCTTGGAAGCTTGGAAGAGCAATGATATTTTTTAATATAACTCCGATTGTGTTCGCCTGAAAAAATATAGTCATGGCTTGAGGGTGAGTAAATCATGGGATAATTTTCATTTTTGGGTGTACTATCCCTTTAAGACATAATCGACTGTGTTTGCTAGAATACTCGCCATCATGGGCGTGTTGACATAATTTTTGTGTGAATTTGTCCGTTCAAGTGCAAGACTTGAATGTTTAAATTGGCAAGGATTAAATGAGTTTAGTTTAAAGCAACGTGTGCTGTTCGGGTCTCAAGTTAATCATAAGATAATCAGATCCACTGTGATTTATTTGCACATTTAAGCTGCAGTTTTTCAACCTAATCATGTAAATATTTCAGTCTGCTGGATTTCTCCAAACAGTGAAGATTTATTCTAGAAAGATAAAACAAGTCTTATCATCTCCCTCTTTTTTTTAAAGCTTTTCAGGAGAGAGATTTTCCATTAGAGAAAGTCCACTGTGTGTCATCATGTGGAATTTGGACCCCTGTTTGGCCAGACAACTCTTTCACCATGTCAATTCAACCAGTACACAGAGCAGAAACCTGAGTTACAGTGAGGACAATAGAAGTGAATGGGGCCAAATTGTAAAGATTAAAATACTCACCGTTTCAATAACAGCCACAAGTTATTTCCATTTTTATAACTTTGTTGCCATGACAATGTAATGCCTAAAACATTCAAATGACCATAAAAATAACTTTACAGATCAAATAATTTACAACAAGTAAATACAATAAATCGAATGCTAAAATTATAGGGTTATAATTATATCAAATTAGTTATAACCTTCACATTTTGCTTTTTACTCCTCAAAGAATGGCACCATTTAATTCCATTGTAAGTTTCACTCTGTAACCTTGATTCTTGTTTTTTACCCAAGTCTTTACATTATCTAATTGGTGCTTGCCTGTGCAAGAGTTGCCTACACAGGATGCTTGACCACATCTTGTAAACAAGACTGGAGTGTAAATTGACTTTGTTTGTTGGATGAGATACAGCTAAACATGACAGCTGCTTGATACTCCATGAGAGTTGAAGCAAGGCCGCTGTTTGGCACTCCCTGAGAACTGAGACACGACAGTTCGACAGCTGTTACACGACCCTGGAGAATAGAATTTGGTCGATGCAAGTTAAATGCAAATTATGTGTATTGGTGTCCAACGCAGGTTTGTATTTACGAGTGCAGATCCGTTGAGTTTCAGGTGGGCGGCAAGCAGCTTAGGTGTCCAATGGTCATACGATGTGGGGGAAGAAGCCTGGCCGATCTGGCTCAGATGCTCTGGTATCTTTTTTCAGATGGCAGGGAGGAAGGGGAGAGTCATGCTTTCCTCAGTTGCAGGATGTTCTGCTTTAAGGGCTAGTCAGGCTCCAGTGCTCACTGTGCTTACACTTTTAGTGCACCCAGCTGAGTAGTGTGGATCTGTTTATTTACATTTCCTGCTAGTGCAGCATAGACCAGAGCTCAACAATCAGGATGTTTCCTGTTGGCCTGGTGCCGTTTTTTAAAAATTATAAATACTCTGACATTCAAACGGTTGAGGTCAGGAAGATTTTTTTGGGGGGAAAGAATATTTTAAAATAAATGCTTTTTTTTACTTTTTTTTTTTACTTTCTATTCTTCAAAGAATCCTGAAAAATACATTAGTTTCCACGAATTATTCACATGTTGAGCAGCTGTTTTCAACATGATGATGATAAAAAAAGTGTTTCTTTAGCACCAAATGAGCATATTAGAATGATTTCTGAAGGATCATGTGACACCGAAGACTGGAGTAAAGATGCTGAAAAATCAGCTTTGCCATTACAGGAATATATTTTAAAATAAAGGACAGTTATTTTAAATTGTAATATTACGTTTCACTGATTTTACTGCATTTTTTGATTAAATACAAAATCGTACTGATCCCAAACATTTGAACGGTAGTGTATCATATTAAAATATTATATTAGGTTATATTATATTAATAAATGCTATTATGAATTGAACATTTGAATCATATTTGACATTGTTCTGGTCAACATACCTTAACATTGTCCAAACCTCTGTAACTCACAGACTTTTGTGGTTTACTGCTTTAGTATCTAGGAGGAAGTAATCCATTTTTTGTTTGGGGCTTCTTCGCTCTTGTTAGTGAGCATGAACACAGCCTGTGTCATGTGAGTAAAAGCATGATTAATTTATGCAGTCTGGAGGTTAATGCAATAATGAATAGTGCCGTAAGCACAACGTGTTTATCTGTGTATCATGTCCACATATACTCAAGTCTACCACTCATTTTTGTCAGCATATAGTAAGTAATAAAGTAGTAGTACTATTTTAATTTGGATACTTAACAATAGGATAATAGTAGTTTCAATGTTAGTAGTATATTAGTAAACGTTTCATGCTTAGCTCTGTATTTTAACCAGGCGTGGTGTGATAAATTAACGTGATTTAACGCTCTCTTTCATGTTCATATCCGCAACAGCCATGACTAGTGACAGTTATTCCTGTGGCCTTACCACACCCACCGTAAAAACTACTGATTCTCATTACAGTACATTTACGTATCTCCTGATTGGCTGTGATCAACAGCTTTTTTGGAAAATAGTAATCGGTATGATCAAAGATCATGGGGAGTGTTCGCTTGGCAATACACCATGATGATAATGCTTTATGGTTGGTCTTCTAAATCATGCAAGTTTTATGTTAATATTTAGATGATAAAACTAATCCAGCTGTAAGCCCTGGCCTTGTCGGAGGAGTGTGTATGTGTGTGGGTGCCTCCTGTAATCCTTCAGCTTGTCCTCCTCACCACCAATCGTGGTGCTTTACATGGGTTTAATCAGAGCGGCTCTCGAATCACATCAGCAGCCAGAGATAAATATGACGCAGTACATTTTATAGGCCTGCGGAGTCATGGCCAGGCCCTGCTGCTCAAACAGATGGGATGAGTGTAACCTTGAGATGTGTTTTTGTCTTGTTCTGACCCTGCTCCACCCTCCCCTGCTCTTGCACTGTAACTCCCCCCTCCCTCCCTCTTCCTTTTCCCAGGATCTGAGCTCCAGCTCCGACAGTCTCGAGCTAGAGGCTGTTACAGTAAGTCTCTCACCGCCTAATAACGCTCCTCTGTGGGTAGTGGGATGATGGCTGTGTCTGTTTGCAGGCGGGGTTGACTCCACAGATTCCTTCAAATGTGTGCCTTTAAGATTTGCAATCATGCCATCAAACATCACAAACTGGGCACAATATTGGCACTTCACATGAAAATAGGGATATTTTCCCCCTTTTTTTCAATGAGTTTCTTTACCTTCAAAATATTTTTCAAACCTCTGGAGACAAAACTAAATATACGATATGTTATTTTCTTTTTATTTAACTTATTTTATTGTAGTGCAAGGTTTTTTTTTCAACCCCATTACCTAAATTTGGGACATTTGGTGTCTGAATTGTTTAAAACCAGATTTTTCTTTATTTTAATATTTATTAAATTACTTTTTTATTACAATAACATTTGGGAACAGTGTTAAATGATAGGTTAATTGCAGCAATCACTACAATTTAATAATGAAAGCTAATGACTTGATTTTTTTAACTTTTGTTTTATGTTTGATATTGTATGTAACATAAGTGGATGTAGGATTTGGGCCTTTATTTCTCAAATAAAAAGTAATGAGACACCAATTTGTACCTATTTGGGGAAAATGCATATTGCATGTTGCATATTAATATGAACAATACATCTTCATCTGTGAACTGATGGCATGCTTGTAAACACTTGTTCTTTGTGTGGTTGTTCTTTTCCGTTTTAGCTGTAATTTAATTATATGGATGTGACATTCTCTTATTAAATCAATCAATGTATATAAGTGTATAATTTTGACTAATAAAGTCAATAAAGATGGGACAATTCAATTTGTTTTGGGTTCTGTGATCAACTGCAAGACCTGTGGGTTCTTACTGAGACTTTGTAAACCTTGGCAAAGGAGGATTCTCTGTAAAGTGTTTTAATTTAGTGGATTGAATTCTTTCCATGGGTGTTTTGGGTTTTCTTTTGCATATTTGCAAAGGATTAAATGGTATTCTTAGTTGTATGAAAAATCATTTTATGACCTTGTCATTTGTTTCTGTAACCCCTTCTACATGGATTACAGATATCCATGTATTATTTTGACATCTATAAACCATAGGTTGCACATGTGGAGGAGTTTGATGAGTCTTTCTCCACATTTTCCTGTCCTTTGATGTTATGTATTTTTGTGTTAATAATTTTTCCTCATTTCAGGTGATGCTATTCATTCATGACTCACTTGCTCAACCCTGTGGTCAGCTGTTGCTAAAACACTCTACTCTCTCTTACCATTTCTGATTTATTTTTACGCCCATGCTTCACTTTTGAGTTTAGAATGCTGTACCGATCATGCATGCAGATATTTATCAGTTTTGAGCACTGCTCCACACACTCCTGTGCTGAATAATAAAATGCAATAACTTCTACATCCGTAGAAATTCAGTGATTGGTTTTATTTGGTTGTACTGTCGGTTCAAAACCCAATTTTAGGCTTTGGTACGATACCAGCTCTTATACTAAAGTATTGATACTAAATCAGACTGTGATAGATTTACATATTTGCATAATGTGAACATTTAATAATTGAAAACCAATAATAATTGAAATATCTACACAAAATGCCAGTTAGCTGGGATGGAAGTATTTTGAAATGGGATAAAAGGACACATCGCATTTAACTTTGTTTTTTGTTTCCTGTCTGAATAGACAAACTGTGCTGGAAATCAGTACATAAACAAAAATTGTGATATATTGGTATCATACCATTGTAAATCAGTGGTACGTTTTTAAACCATTTTATTTTTTGTACCCAGTATTGTGTAACCCTTTTTGGTTGAATGATTCCTCTGCAAATGCCCAAATATGTTTGCGTACATTTTAATTTTGTGTGGTACAGTAATGTTTCTCTCTTCTCCCCACATCTTTTCTTTCTTCTCTCAATCTTCTGCTCTCAGCCGGTGCGTCTGACCCCTCAGAGGGAGTTTATTAAGTCTCTGATGGGGATCGGGAAGAGACTGGCCACTCTGCCCACTAAAGAACAGAAGACCCAGAGGCTCATCTCAGAGCTGTCCCTTCTTAACCACAAGCTGCCTGCCCGGGTCTGGTTGCCCACGGCTGCCTTTGACCACCATGTGGTGCGTGTGCCCCACACGCAAGCCGTCGTGCTCAACTCAAAGGATAAGGTGAGGTTGTGCTCAGATCGATGGGGATATGAATCCAGACTTTTTAAATGGAAGAAATATTGAGTTTCTTTGTTTTGTTCTATTGGGTTTTGAAAGACACTTTCTTTCCTAATTTCAGTGCTAACTGCCTTTTTGTGCTTCTTCAGGCACCTTACTTAATCTATGTAGAAGTTCTGGAATGTGAGAACTTTGAGACGTCGAGTGTGCCCGTGAGGATCCCGGAAACACGGATCCGCAGCACGCGATCCGTAGAGAATCTTCCGGATTGTGGCATCACACCCGACCAGCGTGCCAGCAGCTTCTCCACGGTTCCCAATTACGATAATGATGATGAGGCATGGTCTGTAGATGACATTGGAGAGTTGCAAGTGGAGGTACTCGGAAAGTGTGACTGTTTCAAAACATCCTTAACAAATTTGTGGTTTTTATCCTCAGAGAGCTGACCTGTTCTTTATTTTTTTTTTCCTTAAGCTTCCAGAGATCCACACCAACAGTTGTGACAACATCTCCCAGTTCTCAGTAGATAGCATCACCAGCCAGGAGAGCAAGGAACCTATTTTTATTGCTGCTGGAGATATCAGGTACACTTGGAGCTGGTGTATGTGTGGTCGCATACAGTAAAGACCAATTCACACTGCTCCTACAGACGGCAATAGACACTTCGTCAGGTTTTGGTGGAATATTGTGTCACCCCTGTTGGTGTCTGTCAGAGCTTGTTTTTGTCTATTGAACGGGTTGAATCTGTGTTTATCGGGTAGTGGAATGCCAGAAAAGTGACGTACTGTAATCTGGTGATTGTGTGCGCCTGTCGATGTTGGTTGGTGCAGTATAAATTCGCATTAAGAAAGACAAATTCAAATTGAACTGAAATGTTTTGGTTATTTCAGACGACGCCTGTCCGAGCAACTCGCCCACACCCCCACCACATTTAGGAAGGACCCAGAGGATCCCTCAGCTGTAGCCTTAAAAGAACCGTGGGAGGAGAAAGTGAGGTATGTGTTCATCAATCTCCATCAGGGTAGATAGTTTTCTTCATTTGTTGAGTCTGAATTTGTGTATCCTGTGCTGTTGAATAGACGGATCAGGGAGGGCTCCCCCTATGGCCACCTGCCCAACTGGCGTCTACTTTCTGTTATTGTGAAATGTGGCGATGACCTGAGACAAGAGCTTCTCGCCTATCAAGTTCTGAAACAACTGCAGGTTGCTATCATTATATTTTTTCTTTCAAAATGGGGTTAGATCTAGGGATGCACAATATATGTGTATCATATTGGTTATTGGCCAATATTGTTTATGTAATTGTGCTTGCTCATTTCCCCTATTTATACATTTAAAATACATTTTCATTAGAATTTTATGATGCCTAAATTCACTTACCACTTATGTTATGATGCCTAAAATCATGCATTTTTAATTAAAAAAAATTTCAAAAAGTAGCAGTATATATTTATTAATGTAAACTGCTGATTTTTTTTTTTTTTTTGAAAGAAGATTCTTATGCTTACCAAAGCAGCATTTATTTGATCAAAAATAGGAATATTGTGAAATACTATTACAATTTAATATAACCGTTTTATAAACCATTATGAATAGTATAAATTCAGTGTATAAATTGAATAAAATGTATTTATTACTGTGATGGCAAAGCTGAATTTTCAGCAAACATCATTCAGACATCATGTCACATGATCCTTCAGGAAATCATTCTAATGTGCACATTTTGTGCTCAAGAAACATTTTCTTATCAATTTTAGAAAATGTTGTGCTGCTTAATATTTTTGTGGGAACTGATAAAAAAAAATGAAGGATTTTTTGATGAATATAAAGTTCAGAAGAACAGCATTTATTTGGAGTAGAAATCTTTTGTAACATTGTAAATGTCTTTACTGACACTTAAGATCAATTTAATGCCTCCTTGCTGAATAAAAGTGATAATTCTCCACAATTTACAAAAGTGTTTATTTAATTGAGGTTTGCTGAGGCAGTGTTGCTATACTGAATCTTCTCACCATCTTTGTGGTCTTCCAGATTATCTGGGAGCAAGAACGGGTTCCCTTGTGGATCAAGCCCTACAAGATCCTGGTCATCTCTTCAGACAGTGGCATGATTGAGCCAGTGGTCAACGCTGTGTCCATTCACCAGGTGAAGAAACAGAGTCAGCTTTTATTGCTCGACTACTTCCGGCAAGAGCACGGCAACTACACTACAGAGGAATTCCTTACTGCTCAGCGTAACTTTGTTCAGAGCTGCGCTGGCTACTGTCTCATCTGCTATTTGCTGCAGGTCAAGGACAGGTGAGAGACACTGTGAATGGTAAAATCATGGCTGAATCATGTTGGAAACTAAATAATGTAGATAAGTTGTAACCATTCATGTTTTTCAGGCACAATGGAAATATCCTGCTGGACTCGGAGGGCCACATCATTCACATCGACTTTGGCTTCATCCTTTCCAGCTCTCCACGAAACCTAGGCTTCGAGACGTCTGCCTTCAAACTAACCAGTGAATTTGTTGATGTAAGTAGCTATGTTTATATAGGATATAGTTATCATTGGTGGAGTACTCTTGTCCTAATTTTGGAGAAGGATGCTCTAGGTTTTATGGCTAAGTTTGCATGATAAATCAAATCACTACCATATTGGCTGTCTACTAGAAGTGTAACAATTCACTCGTTTTCAAGATGCATCTATAATATCATTCCATCAACTATCATTCCATATTTAAAAAATTCTAAACCATAATTGACTTGCTTGCACAAATTATTGAAGACATAGTGTTGCTTCATTTCCCCCTTCACAGCTCTCCATCACAGATGCGCCTTTCACTTGATCGTGCTCTCTTAGGGCTGTCGCGGTGAAGCAATTTCCCTTGCGGTGATTTTGAGTGGCTCAATATCGTTTTTTTTTTATTGAATTTTTATTAGAATTTTTTTTTGCTATATACAGGTCCTTCTCAAAAAATTAGCATATTGTGATAAAGTTCATTATTTTCCATAATGTAATGATAAAAATTAAACTTCCATATATTTTAGATTCATTGCACACCAACTGAAATATTTCAGGTCTTTTATTGTTTTAATACTGATGATTTCGGCATACAGCTGTATTAAAAACATTAAAAAAACACTTATTTTATTGGTCGGATGAAATATGCTAATTTTTTTAGGCAGGAATTTTGGGTTTTCATGAGCTGTATGCCAAAATCATCAGTATTAAAACAATAAAAGACCTGAAATATTTCAGTTGGTGTGCAATGAATCTAAAATATATGAAAGATTAATTTTTATCATTACATTATTGAAAATAATGAACTTTATCACAATATGCTGATTTTTTGAGAAGGACCTGTACACAAGTGTTACAGTTGGGTCAGCAGGCAAAAAGACGAAACGGGACCTAAAGGAAGCAGAACAAAAAAGGAAAGGAAACGGAACACAAGGTCAAAAATAGGGTCCACATAACAGAACATAAACCTGACAATAAGTGCATTAAGCTATTGTTATATGTACAACAGTTAGTTCCGCTTCTTGAATCTGACTGGACGAGAGGCTTTCTAAGCCTGCAGATATTTCACCAGTATCAGCAGCACTTCTTGTTTCTCCATGTTCTAGACAGCCTGTCAGTCAGTGCAGGTTACAGTGTTACGCAAGGGACTGTCTTTGAGTGAGCCATTAAACCGTTCATTCAACTAATACGTTCAAAAACGCTGATTTATTCATTAATGAAACAAGGTGTTGAAATTATTTTTAACTTTAAGCTGATGCTTCACTTCCTAGGTCATGTTCAAACTGCAGCTAAATTCGGTTGTCAACTCATATTTTAGTGCTAAATCTAGTAATTTACGGGAGTGACAACCACCACATTCTACATTCAAATTAACCCCCTGAAAAATGCAGGTAGTGAAAACCGCATTTACAAAACTTCTATGCAGTGTACACAGAACCAAACTGAACAACTAGTTATTAATGACGTACGATGAGAGATGATGCGTTAAAATACGTATTTTAATGTGCATCAGAGAGTTGTCTCGTCTGTATGTGAGAAAAATTAGCAAACAAGCCCATAAAAACTAAATAAATGGACATAAAAATAAGTATGAAATACCTGCTCACTTCCATAAACTTGATCGCTGCTTAAGCAACAACCCCAAAACGCTTTACAATAAGCGGACATGGCAACACTGCAATAGCGTGCTCTCTGAAGCAGCCGCCACAAACGTATATGAAACTCCTCAATCGACTAAATTGCTGAACATAAGGAGTCTTTTGTCACTGTAATAATTCTTTGGTCAAATAGTGGATCCCACCAGAACGTTGCTATAATTACCACGGTGTCAATCATCACAGTTTCGGGACTAAGTCGTGTTCCATACACGCATGGAACGATAATTTAGGGGACTCACTCACGCATTTAAATGCTGTTGCCACTCCTGAAACTTTACAGTGTGTACGTGGCCATAGAGACCATAGATCTGTTGCATGAAGCTAGTTGAACAAACTCTTGAGTTTCAGAGTAGATTTAGAGTTGACAAATCCATATAAATCCAACCTGGTCTAGATCAGGTTCACCGGGCTCACAATACTCGGTATAAACGTTCTCTGTCAACTCAGGTTTAAAGGTGCAATAGGTAATTCTCAACAGAATTTTTTGTTATGCTGGTTGAAAGTCTCCTCATATCCTGATAGCAATCACTATGTTAAGTGGTCTAAATGTATTTTTACAAATGTAAATCATTTGTAGATGGCGTAGGACAATAAAATGTTTCAGTCCGAATGAAATGATACCATGTGTTCCCTGTCAGTCAATGTGTGTTTGCATACCACTGCGCAAACACACAAATACAGTGCATTCTTTCCTTTGTCAACAGGTCTGAACTGAATTTCACAATCGCATACTTTTGTATGCAAGCAAGCACTTCAGTTTCTCCCCTCACTGTACTGTAACGGTTTCTAACCGGTGAATGACACATGATGTAATGCAATAACTTTGTCTCTGGTCATCTCGCTTCCTTTCATGTGTTTTGGAGGAGGCGTGGCTTTGGATAGCGATTTGCAGGGAGGGTGGGATCATATGCTTTCAATGCTGGCAGGCAAAGTTAGCATTTCCCTGATCACCTATTGCACCTTTAACCCAGAGTTTGCTATTAACTCTGTTACTGTAATTCACTTCTCTGCTGTAGATTAAGAGATCATTATGAAAAAATATCATGAAATTAAATGAATTTACAAGGCAGGAATAAACACTGCTGCTGTAGCGAAAGTTTGAGAAGGCAGCTGAAAGAAAATATCTGACTATATCAATGCAAGTGATTCAAACAAATAGGCCTTATAAATTAGTTTCAAAAAGAGCTTAAAGAATACACGTAAGCTTAATCTGTTTAAAGGGATACTCCACTTTTTTTGGAAATAGGCTCATTTTACAACTCCCCCAGAGTTAAACTGTTGAGTTTTACCGTTTTTGAATCCATTCAGCCGATCTCCGGTTCTGGCGGTACCACTTTTAGCATAGCTTAGCATACATAATTGAAGTGGACAAGACCATTAGCATTTCTAAAAAAAAAAAATGACCAAAGAGTTTCGATATTTTTCCTATTTAAAACTTGACTCTTCTGTAGTTACATCGTGCACTAAGACGGACAGAAAATGTAAAGTTGCGATTTTCTAGGCTGATATGGCTAGGAACTATACTCTCATTCCTGCGTAATAATCAAGAAACTTCACTGCCGTACCATGAGTGCAGCAGGCGTAATGATATGACGCAGCGCCTGAAAATAGTTCCGTTGTGTTGACGGAAGGTGGCCTATTTTCAGGAGCTGCGTCATATCATTACGCCTGCTGCACTCATGGTACGGCAGTGAAGTTTGATTATTACATCGGTCTTAGTGCACGATGTAACTACAGAAGAGTCAAGTTTTAAATAGGAAAAATATCGAAACTCTTTGGTCATTTTTTTTTTTAGAAATGCTAATGGTCTTGTCCACTTCAATTATGTATGCTAAGCTATGCTAAAAGTGGTACCGCCAGAACCGGAGATCGGCTGAATGGATTCAAAAACGGTAAAACTCAACAGTTTAACTCTGGGGGAGTTGTAAAATGAGCCCATTTCCAAAAAAAGTGGAGTATCCCTTTAAAACATTAATATATATATTTATATTAATTTAAAAGCAAATGCTAATATTAATTGTAAATTAATATATGAATTATAATATATTATAATATAATTATATGAATTATACAGTTACAATTCATATAATATAAATTCGCAGCAAAAGATGGGCACTTTTGTCTCAAATTCTTTCACTCTAAACTGCTCTAAACAGATACATGTCACTTAACTCACAGCTGATTGGTCCAGTTTTGGTCTGTGATCTCTAACCCAGAATAAAACCTGCTCCGGAGCAGGTCAGCCATGTAGCGTAAATTACCATTACAATGAAACCCGTTAAAAACCAATCTACCTTCTTGATCCCGAAAAACCAGAGTTTGTTCAAGTTAATCTTAAACTTACCTGTGTAGCAACTGAAACCGGCGTCATGCAACAGGCCACATGGCAGTGATGGTAATCACACACACACATTTGTTCCCTCTCTCAGACGCTGTCTGTTAGGCTTGTTTAGAGCAAATCATAATGGTACAGTCTTAAGTAAAAAAAAAAAGAGCCAGTTGGTGGGGAAAAAAAATGACATTCTCTACTCTTGTTACCATTATTTATCAATCAGTATACGTGCATGAGGTGTAAAACAAGAAGGGCATAGCCCTACGCTCATTCACCAACATTTTTATATCTGTGCATCTCTTGTTTTAGGTAATGGGAGGTCTGGATGGAGACATGTTCAACTATTACAAGATGCTTATGCTCCAAGGCCTCATCGCTGCACGCAAGCACATGGAGAAGGTCATCCAGATTGTAGAAATCATGCAGCAAGGTACTGTTAGTCTGAAGCTTCAGGGAATGGAGCATTTTTTCCTTTCTTTAATCATCCGAGGACACTTTATCGTTCAGCTTTTGTTACAGAACTGTTTGTATGTTCTGCAGGTTCTCAGCTTCCCTGCTTCCACGGCTCCAGCACCATCCGTAACCTGAAGGAGCGTTTCCACATGAACCTGACGGAGGAGCAGCTCCAGGTGTTGGTGGAGCAGATGGTGGACGCCTCCATGCGTTCCATCACTACCAAGCTCTACGACGGCTTCCAGTATCTCACCAATGGCATCATGTGAGCGGCGAGCGGGGTGCATACAGACTAGAGAGCTAAAACTGGAAGAAAAAGAAAGACTGCACCACTTTAAAAACCACTCCCAATGGCCGCTTCCCATAACCACCCATGTGTTTCTGCACCCTTCAGACTGATTATCTTTAAAGATGGACTTTTTTGTTAGTTTTTTTTTTATTATCCTGACTGAAGAGGTCTTGAGCTGTGAAGTAACCTTGTCGTCTTTTTTTCCAACAGCCTTTCCTTTTGTATAAACCCTTCCTTTTTGTCCTGTCATCTTGCAGTACTCTGGATGCCCAGAGTTGAATTTTATCCAGCTTTCCAGTGCCTCATTTAAACACTAAGCTGCTGTGACTTTGGTTTTACTCTCACCTGTGTACTGACTGACTTCAACACCCAATATCATCATCATCATCATCATCAGCTTTATTTGTCGCATTACCACTTTTGCTGTATACTTTGAATGAATAACATTCAAAATTTCAACACACACCTACAATGGGATGGGAAACAGGAGAATGTTGTATCTACGCCTGTAAATTGCATTGTGAATTGGGGGAATCAGGTGGTAAACATTGCTGCATTGTTCAGCTTTGTGAAGTCAGTGTTACATTAACTGTTTAAGAGATCTTCAGCTCAGTGCCGCACAAAGAGCCGTTAAGCCGTGAAACATTTGCTTAAAGGGCTCTCATTTGATCCTGAAGAGCGCTTTGCCCATAATAGGGTTAATGAAGCTTTTTAATTCAATATGGATTTGTTAAACATCAAAACACCAAAGACACAGACCAGTGGCTTTGCCAATCATATGAGAGTATTAATCTTTGATTGATACAAAAGCTAATATAAAATAATTAGGACTTAATTAAAATATCCTGGTTGGTTTTCTAGGTCAAAATAAATGTATAAAGAAACTATTTTTGAGTTTCCAAAAGTCTGGACTGAAATATGGTGGACTGAGACATGAACAACACTATTTATTGCCCTTTTACAAATATTTCATACACTTACATGACATGTATGAAATAACACTCTCAACAGGTTCTCTGTGGATTTCATTTCATTTTGTTTGGCACAAGTTACAATGCAAGCTAGTTCTGTACAGCTAACCTGAATTTATAATGTGCATTCTTACCGCTGACCTCATTCTGAGGTGGACAGCCATGTTTAAATGTGTGACTGTAAGCCACTGGAGTTTTGTTTTTGTTTTGTTTTTAATGGAGAGAAGTCCAGATCTGTTGCACAGGAGAAATGGAAAGGGCTATAAAAAAATTGAGAGAAATCAACACAATTATTTGTTTTTATTTCCTACACATGTACAGGTATAAAATTCCCTGCGTAAAATTTTTAAAACATTTTTATTATTATTGTTCTTTAATTTCATAGAATTTGGGGCGTGTGTTGAGCCTCGTCTTCTTTCCCTGTGACATCAGTGCTTCTCTTAATAGTTTGAATTCATCCTTTCAGCAGAAGCCACAGTTTCCTTTCATTTGTTTGCCTGTGCGAGGGCAATTTAGACGATGTACATGTTTTCAACAGCTTTTCTTTTCTCTTTACGATTTTATACTTCTATTGTTTCAACGTCAAACTTTCCTTTGAAACTTGTAAAACGGACCAGCTATTAAGATCATGTGAATAACCTTCCTTGTGAATGTTCCTTTGTATAATAAATTAAATGTTCCCGTTCCACAAATTGTATATTTTCAAAAAGTCTTTTGAGACCCAGTAATTGATATCATTTATTTATTGGTGCATGACACAATTTGAAATTCTAGTGTAGTGTATGTCTAGGTGGATCCTTTACAAAACATTTTTTTTTATAAATGATAAAAAACTAACAGTAAAATAATACAATAGCCAAAATCGTTTCACCTCACTAGCTACATCCCTGGCCCAGAGGCTCATTTTCCTGTGCTTGTAGTGTGCTGTGATTACCTGTGGCGCAGGTAAATCCGTTCAGGATCGTGGGGTGGCGCCGTTATGTGAGAGAGTATCTGCGATTCCTTCCGCAACCGAGAGAAGGAAAAACTCTTGATACCTGCCTACACTTGCCGCTGCATGGACAACACCCGTGGAACCAATTATTTAATCGTTTTACAGTGTTTCCGATACATGAAACACTATATCCTGAATAGTTTACGCTTTTGGATATAATTAAGAAATTGTATCAAGAGGTTATAGATGGAATATCAAATGAACGACTAGTTAAATCCTGGAGTTTCACCTGAAGCTTGCAAGAGTTCCTCGAGGGAGTCCAACACAGGACTGAAAGTTTATCAAGGGTGTGATACAGGAAGTAGGCTACCTTTAAATCATCATGGTAAGTGCTTTGAAAGAACTTATTAAAATTGTTATGTAGAGTTAGTCAATCTGGAGCTGGCTCTAAATGTTGAGTTAATAATAGAAAAGCTGCCGCTGGCTCTAAATTTTGTTCACAAAGTTGTGATTGTTTGATAGGCATGGCTACTACTACACATCATAGAAGTTGCATTTTAATTGTCGACTAAACAAATGATTATTTATGAAGATTCATTAGACTTGAAAACATTTACGCCATTATTTTTCCTGTCGGAGTAAATTCCAACTCATATGAGTAGGCTATGGCCTAAAGAAATGGTCCAGAAACAACTTTTGAAAAACATTTAGGATATTAGGTGGACAATTTTTGCTCGTCAAACACTCTATCAAACTCGATTTGGGAACATTACATAAAGAAGAAATCTATTAAGAAAAATCATATAAATAACTTAAGAGTTATTTGAGTTCAAAATCAATTCAAGCCTTAAATTAAAACATTTGTGGAATTTGATTTTTCTATTCGGATTTTGGAGGGGAGCTCAAATATTCTCAGATATACGGTTTATGACTTATGAAAGGAGGATACTCATTTATCACAGATTTTAATTGTCACACTTTGTCACCTGACTAAGCTTTTGCCTAAAGTTTATTGCTTGGGGATTAGTAGAAATATGGCTTATGTCACGTTTCTTTGTTTTGTTGTTGACCTGGACCGCATATGCCTATAGTTTACCCAAAAATGAAAATTCTGTCATCAATTACTCACCCAAACCTGTATGAGTTTCTTTGTGCTGTTGAACATAAAAGAAGATATTTTAAAGAATGTTGGTAACAGTTGATGGTAGCCATGACTTCCATAGCATTTTATAAAATAGTTAATTTTGGGGTAAACTATCCCATAATAATGCTTGTGAATCTAATCTATACAGGAGCTCAAATGCTCAGTAGTAGTTTTGTTATTGTAAGTCTTGTCAAAGTGTCAGAGGCTTTAACATTTAACGTCTTATGAAAGCACTCCTAACAGAAAAGTATTTTATAAATGTAATTTCCTCCTATGTGCATGGTTACCACTGGCTCTCAGTTAATCAGTATATTCTTACACGTATTAACTCTTTAATTAACTTGTTAACTTATTAATTCTGCTGAACACCAGCCCGTCTGTCTAATACAGTGCCGGCAAATGTTTAAAGTTGTAAGATGCATTTGAAGCTTTATTTACCAAACATTGTGTCAGCATTTGATCCTAGGTGACCATAGAGATGTTTGAATAAATAACCTGTCCTCTTTCTCTCTCGCACAGGGGAGCAAAGAGAAATATCACTGGCAGACCCAGAATGTGAAGGTCAGTGGTGTGGACGACATGGTCCTCCTCTCCAAGATCAGTGAAGAAGCCATCACAGATAACCTCAAGAAAAGATACATGGATGACTACATTTTTGTATCCTTTAAGAATTATTTGGTTATTTGGTCCGGCATACTTGCATATATACACTACCTTTCTAAAGTTCAGTAAGGTTTTTTTTGGTATGAAATGTTTTATTCAGCAGTGATGCATCACATTGATAAACTAACAATAAAGACATGAATAATGTTACAAAATATTTCTATTATAAATAAATTCTGTTATTTTGAACTTTATATTCATCAAAATAATTTGTTTCCACAAAAATATTAATCATCACCTTTTTTCAACTTTGATAATAATTAGAAATGTTACACCAAATCAGCATATTAGAATGACTTTTGAAGACTGGAGTAATGGCTGCGGAAAATTTTGCTTTGCAATCAAGGAATATTTTAAATGTAAAAATATATTAAAACATAAAACTGTTATTTTAAATTGTAATAATACTTCACAATATTTAACTGTATTTTTAATCAAATAAATGCAGCCTTATTAGTATTATACTTTATTTAGGGAGTCAGGTATATCATATCTGAATATTACAGAGATTTGGGGTGGGCTAAATTGTCTTACACCAAAAAGTGAACTCTTAGCAACCATGCAGAACACCATAGCAACACCCTGGCAACTGCCCACCAGTACCCTAACATTGTGGTGGCGAGTTTTGCATTGGCAAGCATTGGTAAATATCAGTGCTATTTTAGTATCATATATATACTATTATCGATACTATTATAGTTTTTATTTAAGTATTAATATTTGTTTGAATATTTCATTTTTATATTTTCAGTTTTCATTTTATTTTTAGTAATTTAGTTGTGTGTTTGTCATTTTTTAATTTAAGTTTTAGTTTTTTTTAAATGTCTACACATTTTTATTTCTGTTTTTGTTATTTTAGTTCATTAAGTTAAACTAAATGAAAAAGCAGTCTTAGCAATAAAAACAATTAAAATTAATACATATTTTAATATATTTATTATATGTATATATTTTATATATATGTAATATATTTTATAATATTTTTATTTCAGTTGACATTTATTTTATTTCAAGCAACAAAACTGTTTTTTTTTTAATGGTTTTAGTTTTTGCTTTAGTTAACTATCCTAGCCCTTTGGTTAACTATCCTAGCACTAGCCTTAGTAAATGGTTTGTTTTTGTTCTTGAATCTAGTCTTATAGCAATACTGCTTCTAGTGATCGGTGAGGATCGGTTCAACCTACCAGCTTTTGTTTTTGCCATAACCATAACTCCTCAGACATACATTGGTCCTGTGCTGATATCAGTGAACCCCTTTAAACAGCTGCCATATTTCACAGACCGTGAGATTGAACTGTATCAGGGAGCCGTAAGTACAGCACACCTAAATACATGAATACGAAATGGAATTAAAGTTCAGATGAATAATCATTCCTGCAGGATAAGACATTTAAACATGGCCAGACGGAGCAGAGCAATGCCATTGCATGTCCAGTCTTGCCATTGTGCTTCCAGAGACTGCCTACGGATCTGTATTTGTTAACATCTCCCCCTGGATGGCCAAATCATAGAAAGCACATATGCAAATCAGAAGGTGTTACTGGTTACGGAATAATGTCACTGCCTCAATTTCATGCAAATGTGACTTTTAATTTTCCAAGACAGCCGTATTAAACTGCACATGTATTCTGTCATTCCCAGGCGCAGTATGAGAATCCCCCCCACATCTATGCTCTTGCCGACAATGTGTACCGCAACATGATGATTGACTCCGAGAACCAGTGTGTCATTATCAGGTCGGGGATCAAGGATCTGACGCCCTCACCATGAGGCACATTTAAAGTATTCGTGTGGCATCAAATGTTTGCATTATATGTGATCTAAATGTGTCTGTGATACAGCGGAGAGAGTGGAGCAGGAAAGACAGTGGCAGCCAAGTATATTATGAGCTACATCTCGAAAGTCTCAGGAGGTGGTTCTAAAGTTCAGGTGAGTGAGTTTATCATCTGCTAGATCAGGCTTTCCCAAACTGGGAGAAACCTCAGGGGGTTTGATGAAAAGCTGATAATTCATTAAATATGATACAATTTATATTAAATTAAATTAGTATTATTATAATTATTAATAAAAAATGTAAAATATAAATAAATGAAAACAGTTTAAAATAAATAAATAAAATGCTTACTAAAAAAAGATTACCGGTAATTGTTTTATTTGTTGACTTGCATGTCATGTCACCATTTGAGAACCATGAACATGTAAATGTTTTGCTAAATTAACTTAAAACCTCAGGGACGTACTTCAAGTAAGTATTTTAGGTCAAACAGGTGTGGCTGACAAAACAGTTTGTGAATCTCTGGGCTAGATGGCCATTTGCTTAAAAAGAGCCAGATTGAACTCAACCCCAAATCTATGTGAACTCATGGGTGTGGTTGTTTCTTTTGTTAATATTGCCCACATTTTGTGCTCATTGTAGGTGAAATGTTGCACCCTTGAAATCACCCAGACTGTTATCTGAGATCAGAAACTGTGATCTCTTTGTTCCTCTGTGACATTGAACAGATCGATACCAGATCTGACTAAATATATGGAACAAATCAGGAACTATAAAATTATCATTTAAACTGCTTTTCATAGGGGGGAAAAATTAACAGTGTTTAGTGCATATCATACATGGCATACTTTAACTGTCTGTGATGTCATGTGGTTTCCTCTTTCCTCGTTTAGCATGTTAAAGACATCATTCTCCAGTCTAACCCCCTCCTGGAGGCATTTGGGAATGCCAAAACCGTCCGCAACAACAACTCCAGCCGCTTTGTAAGTCTTGCTGCAATTCATCTATCTATCTATCTATCTATCTATCTATCTATCTATCTATCTATCTATCTATCTATCTATCTATCTATCTATCTATCTATCTATCTATCTATCTATCTATCTATCTATCTATCTATCTATCTATCTGTGTGTATATATATATATATATATATAATTTTGTGTATAATTTTATATACAG